AAAATGTATATCATCCGAACGTTATTATATCTGCTGTATTGCGTCAGATTGGAAACTTCCAAAAAAGTGTATTGTACTTATCATTGACACATTTAGCATGAATTTAACCACATTAATTTTAATTTTATTGACAAAGTTCGCAATTATATCAATTGGCAAACATAAAAGAAATATTGTGCAAAACTGGAGCTACATCAAAGTAGATTTCTTCAACTTGATGAATGTCACATGCAATAGCATCAGAAAATGTTCAACAACATCAATTATCATTTAGAATTTGAATGTATACATAAGTGCGTAAATCTTTTGTTAAGCGATTCGTAACGGTAAAATGAATTGCATAAACAACCAGCCGATCAAAGTGTGGCATCCAATGCTAACAAACTTCGAAAATAACCAACAAATAAAACTTTGATAAACTTTGAATGGCATTCGTTTGTGTATACATATTCTTTTTCCAATCACTGGCTTTACATTTTGTCCAAACACCTAACAGTGGATAATTTACGATGTGCTTGCATTATATTTATGGTGTGTACGAAATTAAATAGAAAATCGAATTCAATTGGGAATGAACGAACGTTCGGTTTCGGTAAGCGAATGAATCGAAATTGAGGGAACATCGACTACAATTAAGAAAATCAATGCGATAGCACACAATCTCAACGTACTTTCTCTTCCCTCTGTTATCAAAATACCCAACAAAGATATGGGATTGATGCGTTACACCACAATCATAAAATGAACGGAACAGAATGAGAAATAAATACCGTCGGATAATTTCGACGCAACTTTGCGTATTTGGTGAAATGACACGTTTCTCCTTCGGTCGGTTTGGTTTACTGTAACAGGATCGAGGTGATTTAGAATACATTTAGCGGCATCAACATTCAAAATAAATCGACCGGCAACTGACAACCAACTGATTGTTGCGTTTTTTTATCTAATCACACAAGGCCGCTTTTCGGTATTTACTGTAGCCGCATAAGGTGCATGGCCACAAATTTAGATTCACAACAACGCACATTTTACTAATCGTCAGTTAAAGTTTGAATATTGTTCGGCGACAGACTATGAATACCAATTATCTATTCATTCAAATGTCGATTTTCGTTTCGACCTTCTATTTTTTGGCATATTTATAGCCAGCATCCATGCTATTTTAAACGCACATAAATTTGATAAAGAAAACATCAACGTTTTATAACCTGATGCTGTGGCGATAAATTGTAAAACAATATCGCTTCCGAAACTCTCTTGTCAATATCCGCTGTAGCACAACATTTTCGATTTGAATTCACGATTCTCTTTTTTTTTTCGTTCTGCTTGTCTTCTTGCGCGTGTATCATTCGTTTGTGAATTTAAAATAATTTGGTCGTGCAATGTCGTACATTTGATATTGTGATAATCGATAATTAAAGAAGACGAATACGCAAACTTTGGCCATCAGTATTCAGTTAATGCGCAAAAAGTTCGAATCCATGCAGTTTTTCTTTTCATGTGATTCAGTTTTGGGGAATTGTTTTATGAAAAACAATAAAAGAAAAGACGAGATATCAGGCAGATAAATAAAGTGTATTAATGACACAAAATCGAGAAAAAAAACCACTTGAAAGAAAACATAAATATCCCAACTTACTGGGGTTGGCATTGTGTTGTCCCTCTTTTATAATCTATATAAAAAGAGCTTTTATTTCGCTTCATTCACTTAACTGGCTTATGATGTGATTAAAAATTTAACGAGGTTTTTCTATCAACCGCACACAAACCATATACATATCATACATAGTTTTCGTTATTCGGAATCGTATCCGACCAAAAAATATGTGCATCAGCACAAAAAAAACGCAATTCAAAATGGAGATGGAAATAAGAAGATTAAAGGAACTGTCGACCTTAATTTTATAATAATATAAATCAAAAAGTATGCGATTACTCTCTCGAAATAAACGTAATGGATGTGATTTTATTGCTCATTCAATTCAAATAAAAAAAAATTATAATGTCAATAAAATAAAATTATATATATATAGTTTTTTATATATTTGAATCAACTGTCACTGCTGGTGATATTGCTGATTACAAAGAATTCAGCTACAATTTTATCAACGAGTGAGACATAGAGCTTCGTATTTTAATTTAACGATTGAACGATTTGTCTGTCATTTTTCTCTCATTTTCAATTGAATGGAATTAATACAAATTATTCACGTCGACAAATGCTAATCACAATAAAGCAACCGCATCATGTGATTTTCCCTATTTAAATACACATCATTGCATTTTTTTTCCAACTGTGTGTCGCATGTCGCATTGACCATATAGTCTATTTATCGACGTCATTCAATTCACATTCATGTGGAAAATCGTTGAAAGACTTTTTTGAATTGCCTGCATGTACAACCTTTTTTTTATTATTATGATATTTGCACACAACAATTTCCATAATTATGACAGTTTTGTATGGTTTGTTGATTTGAGCAAACATATTTTTTATAAATGAATGAACAAAAAAAAAAATGTTTGGAAACTACCAAACACGTCTGATTAATGAGCAAAAATAAAAAAATGTATTAACAGAGATTTTTCTTTATTTCTTTTTTAAATAATGAATTTACTTCTCTTTCTCTCTCTTTTTTGTGTGTTTGTTCATTGTATGCGGGCCATTCCTATATGATTCCATGTAAAATGCATTTATTGATGATACATTAGAAATTAAATTTTGGTCATTTCCATGATATATCGACAAATTACTGAAAGAAATAAAGAATGACTTTTCCAGCTTTATACTGACACGAAACTTGTAACTACATCATCTTCTATTTGTTTCCAATTGAAGAATAAAAGCAAGATATTTACTTTTCTCTCTTTTCAAATAGTAAGTATTTTTACTTCCATAACAATATCTCCCAGAAAAAGTTCAATTTTAATTAAATTTCCATCTCTTTTGAAATTGAGTTTAATTTATAAAAATGGAAAGTTTCAAAATTCAAGTGAATACAAAACATTTTTCCATCGATCAGTCAATGTTTAAAGTTTTAATGTTCGAGTCAACATCTGAACAAATAAGAGTAAAATATTCAAATCCTCGATTCAAATGAATACAAAATATTTTCATTACGCAGTGTAAACTTTCTTAATCAACACATGAAAAAAAGACAAATTGGCGAATTTCGATATAAAAGGCTTACCGATACCGATAAAAACACATAAAACTAAACGAATTCACTAGGATTTTGTGTTTGCAAAGATGTTGGATCGAAAATTAATTATTTTGATGGTCATTGGAGTTTTCATTACGGCTATAATTGAGGCTAGAAATAGTCGAAAGAAAAAAATCACCACTGTTACATTTCCAGCCAGAGATAATGCTACCAATCGAACTATTGAGTATCGCATTGAGTTTTTGAATAGTTCAAAATATGATGAAGCAGTAGAATTATTGACTGAATATGATATCAATTCGCCATATGGCATTCGGTATGCTTCAACCTATAAATTTTTCCAATTTCTTGATAAAAAAACACTGAATAATTCGTTTAGATGTTGGCAGCGATCGTGCATCTGTTAATGAAGGCTTACTGGAGGCTTATAGTCGAAGAAAATAAGTCAATAGCTTGCTTCAAAGAAGGGTCAGATGACATAATTGGCTTAAACCTTTTGTATACGCAAGATTATATTCCGAAGACGGCGGTTGAAAGCTTAACTAAAGCGGTAAAAAACTGCAAATGAAAAATGAATTTTCATTTAATTTGATCGAATTTTCCATGATTTTCAGCCTAAAACCAGAAAACTAAAATTGATATCGGACGTTGTTGACTTAGTTGATATCGATGTTTTTGACGAATTTGGCAAATATCTGGGCAGCGCTGGCATTTTTGTTCGCAGAGAATATCGTCGCCGTAAGATTGGTGAACATTTGTTGAATTTTAGGTCAGTTTCATTGTTTTTCTATGTCATAAAATGGTTGTTTATAAAAAAAAAGAAATTGGAAATATTGATGGGAACATTTCAGAAAAGTGCGATTTTTCGCTTTACGACCGATGCAGCAAATGCAATGGCTGAAAAAGTTGGATATATAGACGACAAAATTAAAACGTAACCATAAAGAAAATAATGATGATGCTCATTAAATTAATCATTTCAATTTATGCGATTTTTAGCTATGCTGAAATTGCCGCAGAATTTCCAGAAATCGATTTAACAAAAATCGATGGCACATATTTGTCACATAAAACCATCAGATGTGGTAAATGAGTGTTGATCAAGTGATGGTCGATGGGAAAAATGTGAATGTTCTTTGGAACCAACATAAATGAAAGCTAATTACTTAGTAACCATGTATCAGTTTTACACTTTTTCTACAATATACGAATGTGTGTCAAAGTCAAGAATGTACCGCTTCTTAGCTGAATTCTGTTTCTCTTTGAATACTCTTTGAATAGTACTTGATGATATTTTGCTATTGATATAACCTCATCCAGCTTAGAAAAGTGAATCAATTTGTTCATTGAAACAAATTACTAATTTATTTTACAAAATTTCATTTCAAGTTTTATATTAATTTATTTTCTTAATTTATGGCAAAATGAACGTATTTATTTGCGTCATTTGTCGTCTGAACTAAAGACAGCTATTATTCTTTAATTATTATTGCTTTGTGGATATATTATACTAACACTTTGCGTCAATATTGGATATTAGGAGTAGACTTACCTCTTCTAACCTTTCTCATTTTACCAAGGGGGTAGACACGAATTATAAAACATTGAAACATGTGAATCACAGTGAATCAAATGAATCATTCAAATGTCAAACAAGCATCATTTATGGTTTTACTAACATGATCGTTCAACAAATTCTAAATATTATCGTTAATTTTTTTCTTTTGGAATTTACTAGAAAAACACGAAATAGATAAAAATAATGAGTTAATACATTTAAAAAAAAAAAACGTCAAGAAATCATTTTTTCGAAGACAAATAATTTTAATTGTGCAATAAATATTTCTCGTATGACACACAAAGGACATTTCAAATGTCATCTAAACAATCTGAATCTTTTGAATCAGATGAATCATGTCTACCCTCTAGCATTTTACGATCGTTGAATACTCATGAAATAATAAACATTCCTATAGCGTTGCGACTTGCTCTGCTAACCTACTAACGATCTGTAAACAACGAAATCGCTCACTGCTAAAGTACTCTGCTGTTATATTTTGAAAATGGTTAAAAATGGAGAAAACATCGATTTTCTATTATGAAATTTTCACTAAAGTCCACGATTTCTATAATTTATGAGAATTCAAAATTCACACGTCTACCCCTGGCGATATACGATAAGAAAACAAGCAAAATAGGAAAAGTAAGGAAAAAATAAATAATAAATATTTTTCGTGACGTACACTGTCATACAAATCAATGACCGAACAATTATAAAAGCGAAAATTGCAAAACATGTATATGTAATGATTAATTTCAATGATGTCCAGTGCAGTCATAATAAAATCGTACTAAATTGTCGTATCCGCAAAAGCTGACGTAATTAACCGGCAAAACAAGTGGATCGAAGACGCTGGCAATTGGTTCGAGTTGGTCGTTTTCACCATAAATGCGGACGGTGCCACCTGAATAGTACAAAAAAAAAATACACATATAGATTATCCAAAAATGGCAATAAGACATGTAAAAATGGTACATGCAGCGTCATTGAAATTGGTGACTATATACATCAAGAACTGAATATTCACCGCAAGGTACATGACGCTGATTGTCACATTTTCTAGGCCCCTTAAAAAGGACTGATTGAGAAAAAAGTAACGTACTGTTTGCAACTTCAACGATGAACTTTGTCGGTGTTTGAGCCGATAGAATAGGCGGAACAAATACTTGTTGCAATGGATTCGGATCACTTTTTTTGCGTCGAATTAAAACTCCTAAAGGAAGAAAAAAAAAACATAAAACAAAAAAAATAATTTTTACACTTTAAATTGAAATTGATTTTTGGTCGACAACTGAAGTAGTTCAGTACTTACGTGAGTTTACCCATCCACCGATGACTGTCGATGCGGCAAGCAACAGTATGTGAAACATTTTTCGAAACGGAAATTTTTCGTATTTGCAAAAAAGAGTTGGAAAAAGTTTAGTTTGTGTTTTCGATTGTATTCTGGTGAATGAAGGCAATAAAGATTTTCTGACCGAGGTCAGACACAATGTTTTCCGTTTCTTTTGCGTACATTCAACTTTCCACCCATCATCAAACTATAAATTAATTAAATAACTTACTGAACTCGTAGACAGGCTCGTTGATCAAGTCAGGGGTAGGTGTTCGTGACAATAGTACATGTGCGTTACGTGTGCCTTTAAATGAAATTACATGCAAAATGTAATACCCGTTCTGCATTTTTTTTGTACATATTTTTTTGCATTAAAGTTGAACCTACCTTGTGCGTAGAACGCCAATCTTACTACATAGCCGTTTGGTTTACTATCACGAATATCGCTTAGCTTAATGAAATCTTTGTACTCGTATTTGAAGTTTGAATAGGTTTTACAACGACTGGTTAACCCTTGAATAAATTATACAGAGTGTTGATTTTTGGTTCTTTTTTTGGTTGCAATATGAATGAGAACTCGTTTTTTTTCTCAATAGACTTTCGTCGTTTGATGCAACATGAGAGTGCTTAGTTTAAGGAATGTCATCATCGTTGTACAGTAACTTACAATTTCGTTTGTCGACTGGTGTATGAAATGATGGATCCTCCAAGAGAAGTGGATGACCGGGTGAAGAATATTTCGTAGCCACTTGTGTATCGATATAAGATGGTGTCATTGAACAATCATAGTAAAAACTCATCGATGCATTATTAAAAGATGCAAAACTAATGTAATTTAGTTGAATGGATGATTTATAAGAGTGGTCATCGACTGACAACAGAAGTTTGTATTGTGTATGATCATGTTTGGAGTACAATTCAAGTTTTCCCGCTGTAAAAATAAATATGGAATGTGGATGTCAATTACTGAACTTGAAACAAACAAAATAAATGTGTTTGAGTATCAATATATAAATTTCTCAGTAGACTCCTACATCTTGTGATTCGTATGATTAAGTTGAGCGCTTCGTCATTGGGCAAGAAAATGTCGGCACGTCGGGTGTCAGCCAATGTGGTTGTGGATTGATTTCCAATTTTATAAATCGAAACACGTCGATTCATATTATCGCCAATAACTGTTTGAAATAATAAATTAGTACATAAGTGTTTTGAGACACACATCTTCAAAATTCGCACCAAAACAAGGACAGAAACAAATAAATGCCTTACCAAATTCATATCCATTGTGAATTGTATTAGATGAATTATCGGATGAAAGTAAAATATGTGCATCATGCTGAGCGGCCACATACAAAGGAATTTCAACGTCATATTGTGTCGTGTCGGTAATTGAATTGTCTGGTATGCGATGGAATTCGGTATGTTCAATGTTTGTTGTGTTTACATGTTGACAGCGTGAATTTAGTTGTGATTTTGTATAAGCTTCATCACCGCGGCAATCGTAGAAATACCGTGCCAACGATTGTCCAAGCGATGAAAATCCAAAATATTTAATTTTCAATGGATTCGAATCTTTAAACTCGATAATTGGTTTTAACGAGTGTTCAATATATGCACGGATGTCACCAGCTGCTCATGTAAGCGTATTTGCATTTTTTACCATTGGTCGCCAATGTCAATCGCATGTGGTTTTTTTGTTGGTGGTGTGTGTGTGTGTGTGTTCCAACGAGAATATGAAAATCATTAAATCACTGGTATAAATATTGCATACAAGGTGTTTTTCCACATCGCGTACTCATTACCAAGTATTTCTTGGACCCAGACGAGTAAATAAATACTTCCAACACAGAAGCTGTCTTACGAATATTGTATGGCATCTCGAACATTTTTGGCCAAAATTCTCGGTGTTCGAGTAATTGACATACAAAAATCTGATCTGGCTGGATTTTCTTAGAACTTCATGTCTGGAAAAATCGATGAAAATCGCAATTTTTCACGAAAAAAATGTAATTTGCATATCGTTGTTATGTCATAAATAGAATTTTGGGGTCGATATGCACATTTTGACACTAAAAAAATTTACGTTGGTAAGAATGGGATGAAAACTTGCTTTTTCGAGAAATTTTCTTGGATTTTTCCGAATTTTTCGATTGTCTAACTTTACCGCCACCGCTGAGTTAAACTTTTTTCTCATCTCCCTTGATTTTATACATTAAACAACTTTTCCAACGAAGTACCAGTCTGCAAATCCAACCTGAGTAGCCGCTTGTACGCTGCTCAGACGAATTTTGATTAAAAATGTTCCACCAACCGATAAACTCCTTGGTGTCCATGTAATACTTGGTAATGAGTACACGGAATTAAAAAAAACCACCCTGTATAACATTAATTTGGGTTCATAACGAACAAATGCGTTCGCAAATAATCATTAGCACCACTAACCGGATGTAATTTCAATTAATATTTTCAATGGACAGTTTTTGGTCAATATCTCATCAGTATACTGAAATATAAGCTCCTGATCCTGACGTTTTCGACGCAATGTGGCACGTTTATTTTCCCAACCGGCAAACACTGTGTGTCATACGAGAATTATCAATATTATTCACAAAACTATAACAAAACGAAATGTAATGGATTGCTCCATGTGGAATGTAGCAAACCAATCTAGGATTTGCAAATGTTTGAACATTGGATTTTAATTATTTTTTATTTTATAAATGGAAAGAATCGATTAATTATTTTTTTTTTTTTGCAAACAAATCAAAATGACATTAAAATAAATTAAACAGTTAATTGGATATTCCACATTTTACGATATTTCACAAAAGTATTTGGTATTTCCCCATATATAATGACATGTGCAATGAGCAAATCGAATATACGCTATGTTTTGATATTCGGTTTTTTTATCGAATGGAATTCCCCATGTCACTAATGTATGTACATAATTGTACAAGCACAACGGCATTACTTTGCAATATCAGTGCGAATAGCTTCTTCTTCTTGTCTTTCTTCTTTCCGTTATAGTTTACACCAGATTAATTTGAATTTCAAATTTAAATGACAAAAGAAAACAAAAAAATGCCTTACCAAATTCGTAAACTTCGTCCGAAAACCAATCGGGATTTTCGGTTTCAGTAAAAACAATATGTGCATCTCGTTCGGCTAATGCATAAAATGGAAATCGTACTAAGTAACCGTCTGGTTGTGATCCACTCACATCGCTTAAATTCATCATTTCCCGGTAGTTATCATCCCACTCTTCGTATTGTTTGCATTGCTTCTTCAACCCTTGTTTAGATAGTCATTAAAATGAATGTTCAAAAATCTAAAATGGCTCTGTTCATTCACAACTAATTGGATTAAGTCGAATTTTTTTTTCATCTCCATTTGATAACAAGAGCCATGATCTAACAAATTGTATAAACAAAATCAAATCAATTTTTTACTGTTGACTTACTGCAATGAATTTTGCTTCGCTCGCGAAATGTTCGCTTTTCACTGTATCCCTGGATACATTGTTGATATATCAAATTAGTCAAAATGAACACGATGAAAATTGATTTCATTTTTTTTTTTTTCAAATAAAAAAATTAATTTAAAGCAAAATCAGCAACGGCACAAACGAAAAACAAAAGATTTTCCAAGGGAAAAAAAACGATCAAATAAATCTCAGTTCACGAAGATTGTAAGTAGAATCCCAACTGAATCGCATAAAATTACAAAGCCGGAGTGTGGAACGGAATTTTTTTACGGTCATAAGAAGAAACACCGCATTTACACATATTTGAACATTTTTGCACAAGTGTCTTTGCTATATTATTGAGCATCAACAAAACAAAAACAAACATACACAACGATAAAAACAAAGAGTGTAGATAATTGGAATCATGAGATGATATCAAAACAATTCAGCTGTATTCAACAACAAAAAAAACCAGTTTGGTGCTGGTAAAATTGGTGCCGTGGGTTATCATGAATTAACACAGAACACATTGACATCGGTCTACGGTCGTTGTTGTCGCCGTCGTCGCCAAATAACCAAGAACAATCAAAGCAACACGAGAGAGTCTCATTCAACTATATATGACTTCGCCGACAGTTGAAAAGAAAAAAACACAAACAAGAACACACACACATTCGCTTGCGTACACCAGTATTGCAATGATGTGCTAAAAGTGCTTTTAATCCATTCGATGCCGAGTACTTAACACTTTGCCTCGTCATACATGTACGGAAACTTATGATTAGTGTCGGGTATAAAACAGTAAACCGAGACCATACGTGGGTATTTGGTGATACTGTATACATGTGAACATTGTATGCGTTGCAAGGTATCAATGTGCTATCAATTGTCGAACAGGACAAACTTGTTTCAATATTTGCACATTGATTTCAGTATGAAAGAGTCACCTTTTCTCTTAATCACCGTTCTATCTACATAGAAAATATGAACCAGAATTCTTTGCAAATTACAATACAATGACTTTTATTACAAGTTTGCAAATAACATTTTGTTTTTGTGTACTTAATTTCAATTTACATTTCTAATCGACGAAAAATGAACGAAAAAAAGAATACTTATTTGTGTAAAGATCAGATATTTTGCGCAGTAATTGATGGAATTATTGGTTTTCATCTTTTAAAAAATGTGTTTATTGTTTGCACCAAATTGACTTTGAAACTAAGTGATTTGATCGAAATATCACCAAAAAAATGCGATTATTGCACTCGAAATACTAATTTAAGAGTTCATATTACGTTTTACTTTCGATGAGTGCCAGCCGACAATCAGGCCTTTTCTCCGAACTAATTGTTTTTTTTTTTTTTGGATGGAACTAAAATCTAAATCTAATTTCAAAAATTCAACATGAACACAGTTACATAGTTTATGAAGAGGTCACTACATGAATTTAATACTTTTGTTCATTTATTTGATTTTCTTCTTTTTTTTTAATTTGCTTCGATTGTATAAAGCATTATCTAATAATTTTTATTAAAGTGAAAAAAAAACCGTTAAACGGCTTATTTGTTTTTGTCGCTATTACAATTTGTCGTTTTGAAAATTCTATTTACAAATTGAATGGGTCTTGATTTTAATTTTTTTTTTTTTTTTGTAATTGATCGATCGACTTTACTATTTTGACGTCACATTCACAAATCGAGATGCACATTTTACATCTGTCTATCGAATTTATTAATTTCAAATTTTCGAGTTTTGACCACAATCGCTTAAAAATAATAATAATTATGCAGAAAGGAAAAATCACGACTTTTTTTCTCTCTACGATAAAATATTGATAATTGAGTTCTCGCTATCGGAAACAATTGATCTTTGATTTATGATACCAAGCCCATTGGCTTCAATACTCTCGCTCTCGTGATATTTTTCAATTTGTATCGTACACTGTTTGACATTATATCCTTTTTGTGCAATCGTCGTCGCAATATACAGTACGTCCGATGACTTCACAAATGAATCTGTGCGATGGAAACAAAAACAACATTTTAGTTGAGGCAGCAAATGACGCTAAATATTCAAATTAATTAAAACGATTTACATACCAATAATTATATGCACAGACATCACATGCCAACCAACTGTTAGACTCCATATATTCAAGCTATGGATTGATCTGGAAAAAAGAAGAGTTTTTACAATTTTATTGTGTAACTTTTTTCAGAAACGGTTTCTCTGAGTATTATTTGTGTATCGCGCTGAGGAGCGGTGCCTTTCCTCAGTGCGGAGCAAAATATTAATTTTTTTGAAAAAATAAATAAAATTGTTAATATTGTAATTTTTGATAGTTTCAGCTTTTAATATTTTGCTCATCACTGATGCTCTGAGAGCATCTGATTTTTTTTCACGCACCTAACGCCTTCAATGCACTTCAAATCATCCTTGAGCCGTTCAGTGTTGATGGTGGTGGGTACAGCTTCCAAAATGATTCCAATCGAATCTTTCATGATGCTGAATGTCGTAACCATAACGATAATTGAAAATACAAAGGTACACAGTGGGTCCGCTATTTTAGCATTTGGCTGTAAAATAAGGAAAAATATTAAATGTAAAAAAAACATGTATTCTCTTTCATATTTGTCTGTCCATTGTAACTTACATAATTCTTTATGATAATTGCTGATATAAAAACGCCAATACTTTGTATGAAATCGCCTATCACGTGAATCACAGCCGCCTGAATGTTAATATTTTTCGTGGAAAAATCATGTGAGTGACACGAATGATTGCCGTGCAAATGATTAACCAAACTGGAACGATGTTGATGATGTTCGTGTAAATCTTCACTGTCACTGCTCGTAATTGGCGTATGCTCCGAACTATCACGATGCACATAATGATGAATTGGACAAATTGCAGAACCATTCGAAACACAACCACCACCGCTAATCACAACATCGTCCGTACAATTTATTGGTAATTTATCATCGATTGGCACATTATCCAGACAATCATTGTTACTCTGTAAATCAATAACATCTTTGATTTTATTTGAGGTTGACGTTGATATGGTATGGCTACTGCGTCGAATCATATCACTTCCGATTCGATGACCATTTGAATACGGATGCGATCGATTCAATGAATTTGATCGGCTGTGATTTGGTGAACGGGACGAGCATATGCTGTCACTTGTCAATGTTGTTGTTGATGCACGTTTCGAACCTAGCATCGGACTCCATACATTTTTATTATTGGCACTGGAACGTTTTTCGGTCGCTTCATCGATCAACGGTCGATATTCAAATTTCATTTTATTATTATTGTGATAAGTTTGATCATGCTTTGGTGAATGTGAATGGCAATTGTGACGATGATGATGGCGAACATTTTTAAAACAACACAATCCTTCTCCATGCAATATTAAAGCCATTCTGGGTGAGTGCAATTTACACAAAAAGATATACAAATTTTTCGGTTAGAAATGTGTTAACAGTTGTCATAAAACATTTAATTCGGTTTGACTTACATGACATTTATTAGGATTCCAACGGCTGATACAATCATCATAGTGTCAGCATCAATATCAAAATCTTGGTACATCAAACGATTTACAGCAAAATAAAATAGGAATGTTGTCAGCAACCAGATACCGAATATTGATATAATTGCACCCAAAACCTCTGCAAACACACACCGAGAAAGAAACAATTTTATTTTTGTTGTTGTTGTTAGTTTTATTGCATTTAAACTACAAGAAAAGTATATGTAATACTCACCAACACGCTTATAACCAAATGTCATGTAATTATTGGGTGATTTTTTTGCCCAAATAATGGCCAATAATGCGACAATAAAGCTTATGCAATCGGATAACAAATGTGCAGCATCAGACATTATTGCCAAACTTCCTGCCAAGTAACCGCCCACAATTTCAGCAAACTGAAATGAAAAACAATACTGTGTCAAAACAAGATGTGTCAAAAAGTGTAATAGTGTGGAGTGTGGACAATCAAAAAATTGACAAGAACATTTGAATATGTTTGTGTGAAACCGTGGTTGTTTTTGTTTTTACTGTGTCCTCAACAAACAAGAAAAACTTTTGCCACTCTCAATGAATTGAATGTTAAGCCACCTCTCCGTCTTATGAAAACTTGCTGACCACTTACCATAAAAAAGAAGCACAACGTTGTCGCAATAATTAATTGCCGTTTTTCCTTTTTGTTTTGAGCGTCGTTCCGATGCAAAGAGCCTTTCGACGGGTTTGGTGCCAAGAGACAAAGCGAATCATCCTTCTATATCCGTCACAGATGAGATGAACGCCGACCCGAAAGAAAAATTGAATATAATGAAATAAAGGTTAATTTGAGCAAATTTCATTTTTGATTTGATGAACAAATTTAATTTTGTTAAGTGTGTTTCAAAGTGATTCACTTGAGCATTGATTTCAATCTTCAATGTGGAAAAAAAGGAGTGGTGTACGAAATTGAATTACGGATGACCATGTTTTTTATCCCCACTTTTAGCTTCTCACTTCTCTTTGAGAGTTCAAAACGTTTTTTTTTTTCGGTGGAAACAATATGTTTGTGCTTTTTTGCAATTAAAAACTCATACCCTATGGGGCTCAGTCTCTCTCTTTCTCTCCCTATCTTTCTATCTCGCTGTCGCCCTCTGTATTTTTTATTTTAAATTACAGAGCAACAATGAATGCGAAAAGAACACTTCAAATTCCCCACAATAGACGTTATCAACAGCTACCGACTTTTTATGAACCGATGGATGGATGGACGAAGATAGCACAATTTACAATGAGTTTTTTATTTTTCGTGTTGTACGGCCGTCGTTATTGTCGCTGTTTCACAGTGCAAAACATTTTTTTTGCTGTTGCGAAATGTCAATGTGATACGATAATCGTTTGGCTGAATTGACACCAAATATAATAATTTTCTTGGCATTTCTCCAGTACTGTATAAGACCGAATCGGCAAGGTCGAAATTATCAAGTAATTTTACCGCATTCAACTAAATGGTTCTCATGATATCAGCGAAAAATGCTGTTGCTAGTTTTTTTTGTGTGTCACTGAATATATTCATTTTGGGCATGCAGTAATAAATACTTGGTATGGAAAGCGGACGTTCATCGAAACGCTATGGAAAAGAAACCTAGTACGCTCAAACATCCAAATGATGGCAAAGCAAATAGCGATTTTTTTCGAGGGTGTATATTTTTTTTTGGTAGAACAGCCGACGCAAAGAAAAACTACACAAGCACGGACGAAAAGAGATAAAAAAAATTTGACCGAAAATCGAAGTGGTAGTCGAAGTGTACAGAGCACACTTTGAGAATGAACCAACGGCAGATATGCGATTAATGTGGCGTGTTTGATAGCAAGAGAAAGCAGTGAATACAATTGTTTTTTTGGTTCAACCAAATTGCTTCTTCAGTTCCACATTCGAAATTGGTTTCGATTTCTGTGCCCGTGAGTTCGACATGCCTAGTCGATTATACAATTTTTCCATCTGCAGAAAATTAATAGAAAAAAAGGAGACACGATAGTAATTGTTCATTTCACCGCTCACAGTGCAAGTATGAACATTATATCACATTGTATTATATTGGCTTTTCTTTGATCCCCCAGTTTCTCTCTTTTCGTTTATATTCTATTTGAAATATGCTTGTGGAATTGCGGAAATTACTTCACTCTGCGACATTTTACAAGCAAACATGCGATTGCAAATGGCATTTCAAGCAATCGCATCTAAATGACCGAGTTTTTTTCTTCTTCTTCTCTTTTCTTTTGAATCATTTGGTTGAAATCATTTTTCAAATTCACACAAGTATGTTCGTATAACATTAGCGATCATCAATCAATTCGTTTGAAATTCTGTGTTCGACATCTTCCAATTCACAATGCATTCGATATGATTCGTGTGATGGCACGTATTTAATGCACTGAAAATGTGATGGTAATTACAAAACCAGTAAAAGAAATATGACCTGGTATGTGCGCTCTAATTAGCAAGAGAGCATGAGACTAGGGGGTTGACAACATTTATACTTTGAATCGTTTGAAATACAGTGGACTGCTTGAGTCATCCAAATTTTAAACATTATTTATTGGATTCAGAGTTGTGGATGTGCGAGCACTTCTCTTGTAAGTGTCGCTGTTCTTGTATTCAGGTGAGGCGCATAAAATGGTTATATGGATTAAATATAGGCACTCGCTAGAGCCCGAATTTCTGAGGTGCGAATAACAGGTGTCTGATTTCGAACATGTTCCTTCAACAAATTCCAAATATTTTCATTCGAACACGAAAAAAAATGATGGGCGATAAAAAAACTTGAATAAAATCATTTTTAAAGAAAAAAATTATGTCATTTGTTCCATAAATATTTAGTTGATGGGACACAGGTGACATTTCAAATGACAGTAAATCAGATGTATTATGTCTACCCCCTAGGCACCAGAGATCAAAATAAACTTAACAATTGTGTTTGATTCGTTTAACTGTGATTGCATGCGAGGGAGCATGCATCCCTGTTTTTAAATGACTCTCATTCAACATTCTGCAATCGTTCATAATCATGATTTTCCCGTCATTTTTTTCCCGAAAATTTAACGCAAACAATACATACAGTGTGTTCATTGGCCGAGATAAAAAAAAAAACTAAAAGTAAGCGAGCATAAAGGCGCGCTATGAATTACAATTCTTTATAAAACAAACAAATGGAGAGACAAATAAATAGAGAACGAGAAAAAATGACTCAGCTAGTATACAAAAAGGGAAAAATTCTGTTCTGAGGATTGGAATGAGACAGAAACAAGAGCGCTCGCTGGATTCACTTCGCTCGCATCAATTTTTTTTAGCACTACATGAAATGTAGTTAAAGGAGTAGGCTACATTAAAAAAGTCGATTGAAAGAACATACATTACGTCAACATTAGATAAAGCGAAACAATAGTGTCTCACTCAAAATTATTGGGCCAAGGTGCAACCAGAAAAATGCTATTTGATGAAGCAACAAAGGATCGAAATCGACCCATAAAATTTGATTTCAAATCCGACACAACATCTGATTACGACATTTCTCCAATAGAACAAGCATCCATGGACTATGTACAATATTCCAGTAACTATAGTTTATTAAATAACGTGCTTTATTTGTTTAAACTGAATATTGTATGAAGGACCGTATTCTGTGTGGTAATAATCGTTGAAATGCAATGTGTACATTTAAGAAAATTAAGTGAAAACAATTCGCATCATCCAATATCTCAACTTCATAAGAAAAAAATATTTTAAGAAGAAACTTCTTAATCATAAAATGTATAGAATCTATTCTGGTAAGAACCAAACCACTAGTTTACATTTCATGTAGCGCTAAAAAAACGAAACAATGTCAAAGTTCTTGCAAGCGCATCATTTTGTTAATTACAGACATTTTTACAAACGAATGTTGAAAAGGGAGAAATAACGATACAATATAAATCTTCCGTGTGTAGTGCGTGTGCGGCAGCATATCGTCATCATACATATATCGTTTTCTTTTTTTTTTGTTTCGATGTGAACTATATTGTAATGAAAAATGCGCGTTGATAATTAGCAAGCAGAATAGGTCTACTTGCGTTTTATTCTCATTGTTATGATAATTAACGGACGGTTTCCTTGTCGCAATGAGAGACATCGACAGAACACCACCGTGTTATACAACATTCATCTTGGTTGGATAACAAAAGTCTAATTTAACGCAAGAAAAAAAACGGATATTTGCTCCGCCTTGCAATAACAATGACTGCAAACTGCTCAATTTTTAAAATATGGCCATCAACCTCAATATTATTGCTATCTTTCTTCTCACTCTTCGATTTTACAATTCAGTTTTTTTAAAATAACGTTCACCTTCTATTCGATGCATTTCAATTAAGAAATTTTTGCATCGAATTTTATATTTGTCATTGGCTTTAGCCTTGTCGCGTGAAAAACTCAAACCTTGCAACGATAGCGTTTTTTGTTTTCATTCTTCACATCAGATACTTCAGAAAAAGAGAGCGAGACACGAGAAAACAACAAAAAGAAGACGTCGCATCATCTTACCCGAGATAATGAAATGCTGAATTAACGGAATAGAATGAGTTGGAAATGAGGTACTTACATCGGATGTAATTGAAATAGCATTGTTGATATGTTCAGCATCAAGATGCTGTTGCTGTCTACTTTGCAGTTGCTGATGGTGATGGTGATGATGGTGATGGTGATGTTGATTCGATTTTGATGCTAAATCTATTTGTTTTGGACTGTTGATGGCGCTTGATGAATTTGATTTTCCAGTATAACTACAAACATCGGTGTCACCATTTTCGGCCATTACATTTATCATTTGATAATTTTACTGTACGAACTAATGTATATATATATATATGGAATTTATTTTTTATTTCTCTTTAACGCCTCGATAAATTAAGAAACAACCGAAACTGACGCATTGACAAAATAAGAACTTGGAAATTTTCGAATTTTTAATCAATTTGAGACTATCACGGGATTTTAAAGGAATGCACTTTACGCACGCACACATTAAATCAATCTTTTCTCTCTATCTCGCGTATTGATTGTATTTTGTTTTATATTCATTATCACAATAATCGATTTTGACTAAGTGCTGAGGTACATAATTCACTGCACACCCTTTCCGTTCAACGTTTACACTGTGTACCGGTATTATTTATAATGCTGATTATTTTTGTTGTTATAATCTTCGGTGTGAATGCGATACGACACGATGTTGGTTTTAATCTGAAACGAAGAAAAGATAGACAAAATAAATTTATTAAAAAAAAAAAAAAAATGTAAATGTATGCGTTATTCAGTGCCCAAACTATCGGATGAATGACAATACAGCAGTTGGATAAACGTTTTGAATGCTAATCAGGTTGGTGATGTGCGCGCGACTTCCAAACACCAAACATGTCATTCATTCTCCAACTGAAAATGGAAAATTCAAATGAATTCTTTGAATTTGGCCAAACGAATGAGGCATTTGTTTTGGTTTTTGTGCTATACTCTTGATCATATCATCAACCGCAAATCCAATTATAAATTATTATTATTATTACATATTCGCAATGTGAATTTATGCAAGACAAAACAATAACAATGACAAAATTGGTGTTATATGTACATCTCTCACACTCTCTCTCTCTCTATTGTAGTGCTCATTTTAAACCACAAATTTAATGAACTACACTGAACCAAACAAAAAAGTCGGCTCCACAACAAAATAATCGAAATATGGAGTATCGGGTGATTTCAATTGATGGAGCCAATATGTTTTTGTTTCTGTATGTGTATGTGTTGTGTGTATTTATGCTATTAATTTGAAAACGCACCATACACAAACATGCATGGTTAATCAAACTTCGCGCAATTGTCAAAACCAAAAGAGCTCTCTAGAGTTTTTGTTCGTATTGTGAATTGTTTTTATTCAGTTTTCGTTTCCGTCATCATCATCGTCATCGGCGGTTACTGTTTCAGTTTGGTTGGTTTATTTGCTTCAGGACAAATACGGCAAAACATATACGTAAAACTAAATATTGACGGCTATTTGATTATTTGCATTGTGGCCATTTTACAGTGTGTTTACACTGTTCACACTCTGTTTGTTCATATGTCAAGCAAAAAAAAAATGTATGGGTTACAAAAAAAAACAGGCAAACGGGTTAGAAACACATCAAACTAATTCAAAATAGATGAACAATTTTCTCCCCCTTGCGCTTTGCATGCGTGCTTTCGGCCGTGGCGCTAACTTATTGTTTCTTTTTCTTGACAAATACAAATTGCAATTTCTCACATTATATGCACGACTGTATGCAATTCGATACCGTAAACATTCGATTTGTTTTTGTATTCAAATTGATTAAATAATAGTTACCGAGCAAACAATTATAATTAAATGCTACTTCAAAGCGATAATACATTTTATTAGTGTGTCGCGGTTGTTTGTAAACAAATGCCAATAATTTACGCAAGCCAAATTCCGCGCACTCAACCAGCTATCACACGCAAACCAACCTTTTTTCTCTCGAATATACAAAATAAACAAACCAAAAAACAAAAACGAAATAATATTATTTCGGCGCTTTGAAATTTCAACGTAATAGGCTTTTTGGCATTTGTTTAATCAATTTTTATATTTACCATTTGGATGAAACACTTATAAGCAGCAAAAAAAAATCCGTCTCGTGCACCCAACGCAAAACACACGAAATAACACAACACTTCTTGATACAACACTCAACACAACGTGAATCTCAAACACTTTTTTATCATTCTATTCGTTTCGCTTTTCAAATGAAATTTATTTGTTTTATATCTGTGTGTGTGTATCGCCGTTCCGTTCGGAGAATATCAAAACGTATCTACTTCACCAAATATACGTAGCAAATCAAATACAAAAAAAAGATGAATGGCATTTAAAACCATTTAAAGAGAAGATAAAACAAAATTACACGAACAACATCTATATGCAATATGAAACTATAAATGACAAATTAGTGACAAAGTTCGATACTGTATATAAAAAATATGAAACAGGAAGGCTGAAGCCAGAAGTAGAAATTTTTGTGTTATCACAAACGAAATAGAACCAAATGTCGACCGTATAAAGCACACTCGTCAAAGCACTGATAAGCAACACCAACAACAAAATCTAACATTTCTTTTTTTCAAAAAACAAAACACTCTCATTTCATTCGTTTTTATTGAAGTGAGCACAAGAGCACAGAATAGAAGATCAGTGAAAACAACATCAACAAAAAAAAGAAAAGAAATAGAAACTAATGAACCAATTCGAATTGTACGATTTTGCTGTACATTACACAGAATGAATGTAAAGACAGCGAACGCGGTGAACGAGAGAGAGTTTTTTAAGACGGTGTGCGCGCTGAATGCAAAAGAAAGCTACAGCAACAAAAGAACCTATCTAGGCGAATAATGTACATCGGATGTTAAAATCCACTGAGTTAGAAACATGGATAAATTTGCGAGTGTGATACATTTCGATACGGATGATATACGGGTGATGTTGTATTTGGGCATGTGTATTTGTGAGTCTGTGTATCGAATGGGAATAAAATGAAGCGCGCTTACAAACATTGAAATGATATTTTAACATTTTGGTGTGTGCTGCTTCGACAATTCGAATGGGCTTTTGTTGTGACATTTATGTGATTACGAACGGCTACCATAAAATAAAACAACATTTACGCATACACCGAATTTGTTTCGCTTTTTTCTAACTATAAACGATTCCAATGTGACAGATTTGTGTGATGCAGTGCACGGTTTACACGACACCATAAACGTTACGCTTCGTTTAGATTCATGATATTCGAATATTATGGGATTAGATTATGTGGTTTTTTACTACTTTTGAGCATCATTTGGATTTATGGTATTTTTTACTTGCATCTCTTCCATAAATATGAATAGGGTCCAATATTTTTTGTCTCTCTTTCAGCTTCGTTGAAAAATCCAACGTTCACTTTCGACGAATTGCTTTCCATTCAAGAGAAATGTCAAATAATGACAGTTCCGACTGAAATACATATCTTGAAATTTTTGTAGTGTTGACGTTGTCACTTGTTTGTTTTGGTTGGAATTTTTTTTTATTCGATAAAATTCAATCATTTAACAAAAAAATTAAAAATAAGCGGCTTCGAAGCAAAAATGGCCAATCTCATGATTGAAGAGGGAAAACGTGAAACAGATGAAGATAATATTACGAGGCGGCTGAATAAGGCGTTTGAAAGTCGCTTAGACTTAGATCGGGTTCGTTTTTTTTTTTGTTGTTGAAAAAGTGTATCTCATCAAATTCCCTAAATTCAATCCAAAGTTAAAACGTCATTGTTTGTTTTTAGGAAACTTTGGAGGCGCTCAGTGACTTATCATTCTTTTTCACCGAAAATACATTGCAAACTCGCCGAAATTTGCGCAGTAAAGTTGAAAAACGTAGTCTTACGATCAATGAAAATTTTCTGCTGGCATTTAAAGAGGTGAAAACAACGCTCTATGGCATTTGTGATGATATCGATGGAATGCGCAAAACGGTCGGTGCAATGAAACAATGCCTGTCCAAGACCGAAGCACAAACACATGAATTAATTCAGCAAACAAATGCATTGCAAGAAGAGAGTAAAAAATTGGAGGTGCGACAAGAAATAACGAGCGCATTTTTGGCACAATTCCGTTTGAGCGTTGAAGAGCATCAATATTTGTACGGTGCAACACGTGATGCACCGATTACAAATCAATTTTTCGACGTTCTCGAACGTATTCAGGCGATTCATGCCGAATGTCGTATTTTATTGCAATCAAATTGTCAAACATCGGCACTCGACATCATGGAAGAGATGACATTGCATCAGGAGGCCGGTCTGGAACGTTTGTATCGTTATACGCAGGCCCATTGTCGGAATATTGATTCCGATATTAGCGGACTATTGCAATTGGCTATGAATAAATTACAAGATCGACCGGTGCTATTCAAGTATGTTATCGATGAATATGCAAATGCACGACGATCTGTGTTTGTGCGACATTTTATCGATGCGCTCACAATCGGCGGTCCAAATGGCAATCCAAAACCGATTGAAATGCATTCACATGATCCAAAAAGGTAGGTTCATTTTTTTCTTCAAATCAATGACAAAAAAAACCCGATCTGAAACAATTGTAACATTGGACAAAAGTCTTATTCCAAGAGGATAGAACATTGTTATTGTTTTGGTGTCATTAAAAAATGTACATCGCCTCTTTTAACGTTTCTTTTCTTTCGACTCTCTGCACATGATTTAGATACATTGGTGATATGTTTGCATGGCTACACCAGTCCATACCAATTGAACGAGAGAATTTGGCATTGCTTCTGAAAGATTGTGATAAAAATGATTTGAGTGAACAATCCCAGGCGGCCCTAACTCATATTGCCGATGGTGTTTGTCATGCACTCAAAGTTCGTGTCGAAACCATTCTAAATGGCTGCACCGATGTTATAACATTGTATTCGGTGTCAAATTTAATACGATTCTATCAGACCATTTTAAAGCAGGTTAACAAGTGGTTAATTAACTTTTTTATTAATTCCAAGAATTGATTTGCATTTAAAAAAAAAATTGTTTTACCTTTAGATCATAAAAGGGGGCACACTTGAAGAATGTATAAGCAATTTGCAATTGTTTAGTGAGTCAACGTATTTGAAAACGTTATCACAACAGGTGAAAGAATTGTTGTATGGCCAACCGGGTTCAAATATTGGACTAGAGCCACCAAATAATGATTTAATTCCGTCACACAGTGTGACACGTTTATTAAGCATTTTAAAAGAAATATTGTCGGTGGCCAGCATGGTCGAAAGTCGTCAGACGGACATTACGAAAATTGTTTCATGTGTTATTGATCCACTTCTGCATTCCATTACGGAGTCGGCATCGCATTTGCCGACCGTCGATATGGCCGTTTACATTTTAAACTGTTTATACCATATGCAGAGCACACTTGGTGAGCAATGTTTTTTATATGAATGCCAATGAATTTTAAATTAATATGGAATACTTTCGCCAAAGGTATGTTCGAGTATGTTGACAGCAGAATGGAGCGATTACAGGCACAATGTGATGCTCAAATCGATACAGTAATTATCATGTTTTTTTTTTTTTTTTGCAATTTTAAGAAGGAAAAAAATTTCCATTCTCTGTAGTTAACTTCGGAGCAGGCATCGTCTTTAGTGGCAAATTTGAATTTGGGACCGATTTATACACTGTTGCAAAGTTCATCGAAAGACATTGATCCGAATCACCTGAAAATGTTTATGGTAATTATAATGGAATATGGGTTTTTGTTCATTGTTTGGTGTGTTTTGTTCACACCTTTTGTTAACATTTTTTTTTTATTATTTTATTTCAGGTAAAATTAGATTCATTTTTAGAGATGCCCGATGTTCTATTGCTACCACAGGTGAACCTTTTGCAGAGTAATGCACATCGTTCAACAGTACAGAAACGTTCGTTTAACGTCATCATTGCAATTTATAAACAAATTTATGGTTCGTATAATGAGAAACCAAAATATAGTTCATTTGCACCTCGGTGTGGTTAGCATCCTTTTGTTCATATTATTTTCATTTCGTTTTCAATTCTCAACAGAACGAGTTCACGATCCGAGCAGCAATTTAGAAGCACAACGTTCCATTCTAAATAAAACGCCAGAAAAACTCAGTGAATATTTGAGTGTTTAAATTAAAAAAAAAAAAAATCAAAAATAGTAAACAATTATTGTATATATAAAAAATATGTTATTTTGATCAAAAGTTATTTAAGTTTTTTGAAAAGTAAACAAACAAACGTTATAACATTTATCTTGAAAATAAACAAAAATTAAACGATTACAAGAGAAATTTTTCAATATGAAATACCTTTTGTACTTTGCACTTTTGTTACTTGTAATTCGATTGAATTTTGCATTTCCTGTCGGTATGTATGATGAATACAACGAATTTGAGGATAATTATGATTACGATGATGATCCGTGGTATACTTATGATTTACCTAAATCTGATACACCCGATGTTCATTCTATTCATAAGAAAGACAATATCAACAAACCAATATTCAATCCACGGAAACGGCGAGACCGACGCAAACAACTTCGAGGTAAGTTTTGGTTCACAATAATGGAATGGAGAAAATATTTTATAAAATGTGATTTTTGCTGTTAAAATCTATCATAGTTCGTCTTGTTTGAATCAAAATGTGATAATTTTGTTTTTGTCTTTTGCAGCATCGTACACTGAGCTACACACCTTGCAATATTGTTGGAATCAGCATGATAGTTGCGATAGCATCGGTGCACAAGATACTAAATATGGTCTAACAAATAGCGAAAATCGTCGATTCTGGCATTGCAATTGTGATATGGAATTTTACCATTGTTTGCATCGCGTTAATTCAACACTTTCAAATAATATCGGTGAAATGAATTTTAACTACAATTATCGTTGCTATCGTTTTGATATGAAAATTAAGAAATGCAACGAATATGCCACAAATCCCCATACCCTGCAAGAACGTTGTATCCAATATCAATTGAATTTAAATTCACCGAGAAAAACTCAATGGTTCGATTTACCGTTTTATTCAGGAAAAACATTAAAACATCCGTTGTTTGTTGTAGGTTAAAAAAAGTTTCATGAATTTTCCACAAAATAGATTGTATTTTATCCCAAAATTTTACAAATAACATCGATTTAATAAAATAATTGTACCAAATCTGCAAAGCAAATTTTCATGTTTTTTTTTTTTTTTTTTTTTTTTTCAAAATAATAATTTACTGAACTGATTGTGCAATGAATTTTATTGACACAAACTCGAAACATTAAGATTCAGAATAATTTCGATAATAGTTTTCAAATTGAGTCGACCTTACTTGCATACAAATATCCCATCAAGCGGTCACCGATCAAAAAATACTAAAAACCACCACAAACCTACAGTAATAAAAATCGGCCAATAAAAAAAACGCTTAATATTTGTAGTACGAATGGTATTTTTATTTTCCATTTGTTTTAAGTTCAGTTTCGTTTTAGTTCTGTAATAATTTTTTTATTATTTGTTTTCAATGTTTCTTTGTAAGCATCATGACTCAATATTTGTACAAAGTCTTGCAATCTCATTGTATTATTTATTTTATTAGTGTTTTTAATTCTGTTTGTTTTTATGCCATGCTTTCAATTATCAATGTGATCAAAAAAGTATAGCCAGTCAGTTATAATTATGAAAAAGAAAATTGTCTGTTATTACACAAAAAGCGTATTGATTTGTCTGTAATAATTGACATCCACACATTCCAATAGATTCAATTAGTTATTTTCATCAATGCTATCATTCACCGATGCATGTTCACTGCATCGACTTTGAAAGCAGTGTTCGTCCAAATTCCAATCACAACGTTTTGCGCATGGTACATGCACTTCATTATTACAATTTCGTTGCAAGCAACTCAACATGGCACCATATTGTTTACAAATACCGCATTGATGTCGAACGCTACCCCAAACGGCCGTTTCCAGGCCAACAACTCGTGAACCAATGATATGCACACCAGACGCCCAAACGATACAATCTTCATGTGCCCACACCTCGTATGAAGTGTCGGTGGCCCGTGTCATACCGTAAAAAATATCAATTTCATTGTGTTGTGCATTGCATTCAACAGCATGTCCAGATGAATTCGATGTTGTGCCATTATCAAGTTGATTGAGTTTTCGTTTTTTCTTAACCGATGTCACCGGCTGCTGAAATGAATGGAATTTTCGAGAATGAATTTTTGTTTGCAATGATGACAAAACAATTGATACTTACATTTCCTGCATTTGCCGTTTTTGTGAGTGATTTTGCTGCAACGGCCGATATGTTTTGCATGAATGCCATATTGTTTCGGTTTCGATGCCATGATGATTTGAATACATCATTTTTCGGATCGATTTGTGCCAGCTGAAAATCTTCACTTTCGGTTGATAAAATGAATGGCCCAAATAAATCGCCCAAACCATATTTATGCGGTCCCAATTTACAAAATACACACATCCAACTAATATCAGTGGTAATCGCATCATATTTATTGCTTAACGTACTAACATGCAAACCGCGTACTCTATTCCGATCGGCCGGCCGTTGACTGATGTAATTCTTTTTAAATTTACTTTGCTTTTCGGCAATCTCTTCATTCAATGGTGCATTTATAACATTCACCGAACCATCACGGTCAACATGCACATATGGACCACGGAATTTATTGAGCGTTTCACTGGCCAATGAATCATCTTTTGTTTTCGTTTTTTTAATATCACTTTTCTTTTCAGACTTTTCATTCGATTTTGCATTCTTTTGATTGGTTTTATTATTTGTATTTGTTTGTTTGCCCATTTTACCATTGCATCGTTGATTGGTTGCTTTCTTTTTTGTAGCGGTGGCTTTATTTTTTGGCGTTGGCGATGCATTCGATGGCTGTGATTCACTTGACGATGCAGATATCGTACATTTTGCAACATCATCGCCATTAAATTTATTGGTAGTTTCATTATTCATTGCATTATCGACAGTAGTAGATGTGGCGTTTGGTTCGACACTGACCGAACTCACATCAATATTTGAATGATTATTAATATCATTGTTGGTTTGTTTATCGTATATTAAATCAATTGAATTGGTTGCTTCGAATATTTGTTCCGTTTTATCCGATGTGATGCATGCAATTTCACAATTTTGTTCCGAATTTGATGGTGTTGCAGTCGACATTTTCACCTCATCATGGCAACTATTTTCATGCGTTTTATTTTCAATTTTATCATTTAAATTGGTCTGTATCATTCCGGGTATGACACCATTACCATTACATTTAATCGTATTTTTGTTTGCATGCTCAACAGTATTGTTTGGCGATTTAATCGTTTCCATTGATATTCCATTTGCTATTCGACTATTTTCATATGCGTCCGAAACCAATTTATTTGTATTGCTACCGAAACCATTTTGTTCATTACATTTCACTAATTCTTCCACTTTTTTCACCAAATCATCTGTATTCGGAAAGGTTGCAATGTCATTTGTTAGATTTGCAACCCTGCTCAAATGTCCAAATGCTCCAAATAGATTTAAACCATTCATTTCATCGGTTTGCATTAAATTCGCATCCTTATCACATCGTTCGCCGACCGTTGAATTTGCCATATTTAAATCGTTTGCTTTGCTATAATTCACTAGACCATTTTCAAACATTTCCGGATTCGTACAATGATGACTTAAATCCATTGACTGGGTTTGCGGTGGTTGTACAATTGTTGTTGTCGACGGCGGCAATGGTGACGGCGTTAAAATGTTAGCGGTTGCATCGGAATGAAATGTTGGAAAATTGATGCCGTTTGTTGTATTTTCACTTTTGCTGTGACAATCATTTTTAATGGGTTTTTCACTTTCCAGCGTTGAGGTTTCGGCGGTGGCATTCATTTCATTTGACATGCGAACCGTTTTTTGAGGTTTTCGTCGACGATACCGTCGTCCAATACCATCATCACCATTACATGTACCAGATTGTGAATCTAAACTGTCATCGTTCGATATGTTTAAGCAATTTTTAGCCGTACCTGTGTCCGGCTGACGTGTATGGAAATTCGATTGTGATTTTGACGATATTAACATTGGTGATGGCGATGCGGTATTATTGAACATTGATAAAAGTGATTTTGATAAATCATTTAAATTTGGCGTAATACTGGAAGTGATGGGCGGCGTTAAACCCAATAATTGTTGCAGATGGACAGAATTTGTTAGACTTTCATTTTCAAAAAGATTTGCAGCTGCATTGGCCTCTCTTCCCAATTCCATTGGTTCATTTCGTTGCTTTGACTGCTAATTAATAACGAAAAAGAAAAAAAATAGTATCCAAACAATTATACAAATTCAACTGAGCACTACTGAGCATATAATGTAAAGAAGATCACGTCCAGTAAATTCGTTCGGTCTTCTTCTTCTTTTGTTTTCATAAATAATAAACACAACAAAATGTAGCTTTCCATACCTTTTCATTACCGCCATTAATTCTAAAATTAGGCAAATCACTGTTTAAATTATTTGTGTCACGTGGAATTGTGCTTGATGTGGCTAAATTTCGATTTGTTCGCATCGATGCTAGTTGCTCAGACATTTCGCTTAAAAATGCAATTGGATCCGTATTTAATTTATTATTATCATCAATTTTATTGTTTGTGCTGTCGTCCGGTTCATCGGCCGTTGATTTGATGGCAAAACGATTATTCGATGTGCTTGGACTGGATGAAACTGGATAATTTCGTGGTGATGGTGTCAAACTATTTCGATTTGTATTCGTCGTGGTTGCTGATAAGCTTAAATCAACCGAACTAAAGGGCATTGGATTCGTTGGCGTTCGTACAAATGGCAACAATGGATTCATATCTAATGTGGTCTGGAAATGATGAAGTAAAAAACAGAGAGTAGAAAAAAAAACATATTAGTTATTTTCATTTTTGAAAAAAAAAATCCACAAAAATCAATCACAGAAAAAAAAAAAATAAATCAGACGAATAAGAATGAAAATGATAAAAACAAAAAATAAAAACGAAAATAATAAATACATTTTTCGGATTAGAATTGGCTACAGCAGCCGCTGCTGTAAGTGCCATATAATTGTAAAATGCATCAGCTGGATTGGTGTTTGGCCATATTAATGGTGATGTTCGAAGTGTTCGTTCGCTTGACATGTGGGCCAATTGTGGTGGTTGACGCGGCATATATGACGACGGCACTTGTAAATGATTCCATGAAGACGAATTAACAGGTTGACTCAGTCGACTGTGCGGATTGTGACCAGACGACATCTTGTATACTTTGTTGTAGTGTCGATTTTTAACAATAGCATCCAATGTATTTTATTTTATTTTTTTTTTTTTTAATAATAATAAAGTAAATATACGCAAATCCCTTAAATTCATGTACACACACTCTGTATCATTCGTTTTGATTGGTGTTGTTGTTGTTGAATGCAGCAGCACGCGCACTACGCTCGTTATATATTTCTTTCTCTCTCTCTTTTCTCTAATACAGGCTTGTTTCGTATTTTCTATTGGTCGTAATGTTGTCTCGTAATCACTAGTAATTAATTCATAGCCAAAGACTTTTTTCTCTCTATTTTCGACCAATCGCGCTGAAAACTGTAAAGTTTTTTTTCTTTTTCGTTTTTTAATTTTTTTTTATTCAAAGATATAGAATGAGATAAAATGAAGTGAATCGATCATTTTTTATGCGAGAGAGAGACAGCAAATGAGACAACATGAGACAGAAAATAGAAGGAAAAAAGAATGTAATCAAATAATATATTTCGTTGGTTATTTTCCGCTTGAACTTCTATCATACAATATCTATGTTATGTTTGTTCATTCGATGATTCGCAACACTTTTAACATTTTCATCAATTGTGACTGCTACTGCTTCTGCTTTAAAAGTACACGCACCAACTCACACACACACATAAATAGAGCAACACTTACTAGTTTATGCATCACATTAATAACATCGCCCCTAACAAGATACAATTTTTCAGTATATATGTGAAATGCATTTGTGAATATTGGCGAAAAAAGTGTCTCATTTTCAATTTTCTCTTATCATCTCGCCATCATCATCATCATTGTCATCATGACCAGCAGATGCATGTGTGCTATATCAGTAACCGTTCGAGTCCTTGTTCATTTGCTTAAGCGACCACCATCTCACACAGTATTTTTTTTTTAATTTTATTTCGGTGATTCTGTCTTCACTATTCTGTCTTCCGTGTTCTTTACACTCACACAACCATATGCACTCACTCTATTGTTTATGGATGAAAACACTTGTAAAATTTCGGATAAATTTACAAATATATGCATGTATCACAATAAGAAGTATTAAAAAAAAATCTGTTTAAAGGTTAAATCGACCTTTTCGAAATGTTTTTTTCTGCTTTTCTTAAAACGAAAAATGGTTTTTTAACGAGTTTCTTTGTGTGTGTTTGCATTTATTGTTGTTGTTTTGATGTCTTTTTTTCTTCTTTGTTTTATACACGGATGTCGCTCTTTTGTGTAATTAGAACCAACCACTCTACTTGCGGCTACTTCTTGTTGATTGTATTCTGTTGATTTGAAAGTAAGGCGTTTTGTGATGTGCGCGTGTATTGTACGATTGAATGTGAATGTATTGTAATATCTCTCAGTCAAAAGATTCTGTCAATATTTTTATATTACTGGACGATAAATCTTCGTCACATAAGAAAGTTCAATTTAGCAACAGTGGAATAAGAGAAGAAGAAAAAAAAATTGTCGTTTTAAAACTTGTTATGCTATATGAAACAGTTTTCCACAGACACTCACACACAACACAACCAAATGAATTAAATGTTTATCTTTTCTTCTTCGGTTTTTTTTTTCGTTGGACTAATTCAATATATACACATGAATGAAAGAAAATCACTTCATATTATTTCTTGATTTATTTGTGTGTTTTTTGTTTTGTTCGCACCCCAAACGAAAACTGTAAACTTATGCTCTCTGTGCCTCCAGCACATTTACACTCACTCCAGCAAATATGCTCATGAACTCATAAAAAATACTACTTCTCTCACTTTTTGGCTTTTTCTCTTCTCTCTTTTGTGTGCATATATCCATATATCCATATATCTATATATACATATCGTGTGTCTGCTGGTTGATCTCCGGTCTCTCTAAACAATATTTAAAACATTTGTTGTTTGAATGCATGAATATTATTATTCCACGTAAATTATGACCAGCTATGTTTGAATGTGTTGTTAATTTTTTTTATTTGTTTTCGGTTTTCTATGGCTGCTTGAAATTCAATTATAATAATTTTGGGATTTAACAGAGTTGTATGGATATAAATTATGTATATAGTTAGTTTGTGCAAAACCAACACACATACAGACTCAAAACCATTGTCATTGTGTACTAAATGAAGGTAAAATAAACGTCCTTGTTTCGGCACCGAAACATCCACACACACACAAACGTCTCATACGCACGCACAACGACAAACACAAACCCACATACAAATTCACATGTATTCGTCGTTTAATTTGTGTTTTTAGTACCAACTGACAGCTGTGTGGCAACCAGAAATGCGATAGGTAATAATTTTTTTTGGAGAACAATATGTCGCTGAATAAAATCCATGTTGATTTGACTTTTCTGATTTTTTTTTTCGTTTCGCTTGTCAATTTCAATCTACTACTTCTCTATGTCATTCAATATGTTGTCGAATGAAGTGAAAAAAAATGATCGTTCTTCGTATAAAGAAGTTAGATAATTTTGTCAAATAAATTTAAAAAAAAAGGTAATACAGACAGCTGAATCGCTGAATGTAAAAAGTTGAATATGACGGGTAAAATTGGCGGCAAAACATGACGGCTTCACAAATACTATCTTCATCGTCTCGATTCGTGAGCTGTTTTGTTCATACAACACGAATATTTCAACGAGATAGGAAATCAATCGAATTTTGTTCGCATATTAATTTAATAATAAATAAACAATTTGCATCAAACGCTAGCAATATGTGCAAAAAAATACCATTACGTGGAGCATTGATCGTTTTAGAAGGATGTGATCGATCTGGTAAAACAACACAATGCAAACAATTAGGTAAAATGAGTTTTTTGTTCGTTCGTTCGTTGTTGAAACGCAACCATATTTATTTTTGCGAACGAATGTTTTTAATGGTATCATTTTCGTACGTAATTAATTAGTGAAAGCGCTAGTGGCAAATGGACGACCAGCAAAATACATTAATTTTCCGGATCGTACGACCGAGTGCGGTGCACTGATTAATTCATTTTTGACGAATAAAAAAGATTTCAATGACGAAACCATTCATTTATTATTCACACTGAATCGATGGGAGGCCAAAATGAATATGGAAAAAATGCTACAGGACGGCGTCACACTCATTGTTGACCGATATGCATATTCAGGTGTTGCATTCAGTGCAGCTAAAGGATTGGATATTGAATGGTGCAAAGCTCCCGAAACTGGACTTATAAAACCCGATTTGGTTTTATTGCTAACTATGACTGCATCGGCCATTTCAAAACGTGGTGGATTTGGCGATGAACGGTATGTATCGATAACCGGTTATTAATGCAACTGAATATGATCACATGATTTTGTTGTTTTTTTGGTGACCTTTACGATTATGTTTTTATTGATTGTCTCTTTTTTTCGATTTTTTTTTTCGTCTCTTATGTATTATGTTTTTTACCGGTATAGGTACGAAGTACCTGAATTCCAACAACGTGTCATGAAAGTATATGATGAACTCAAAGACGACAGCTATTGGAAAGATATTGACGCTGACAAATCATTCAATGACTTGCATGAAGAACTATTGTCACACTGCAATCAAGCCATTGACAATATTTCAAATGAAATAATGGACAAACTATGGTGATCACCGTAACTTGTGTTCAAGTGACGAAACAAAATGTAAAATTAATACAATTATATTAATTTATATTATAAAAAAAAGTGTTGAATAGAAACCATTTATTGAATATTGTTTTGTAAGAAATGAACAGATGAAAAATGTTAAAACATGAACTTATGAAAGAAAAAAATTGTTAAAATTAGGATAGTAATTTAATTAACATTAAGTGCATAGTATAAGTCATCGACTGTTGCATTTAGAATGATCTTTTGATATAGACCGGTTGAACTATCCTCTGCAATCAGTAGACGATTGGCTGCCAATGCCATACAAATAATCATTGCTTGGTCTATAATATAAAAAATGATGTATGAATAAATGTGAATGACAATAATAATAATAATAAAGTACAAAAGAGACAAAATAAAATCATGTATTTTGAATATGTACCTTCAGTTGGTGGATTTTTAATGCCCAAAATCGGTGCGAGCGTTCCAATTTGCCAAAAGACACGATGAAATTCGACTTCTTCAATGCCGGTACGTTGAATTTCTGAGGCGACCGCTTGTAAAAATAGCTTTTCAAATTTTGTGCAATTTTTAATGGCTCGCACCTTTGGACTGGCAAACATTTCACTTAGTGCTTGATTAATGTGAGCGAAATTCACTTCAACCGGAACGACACCGTTGCTCTTTTCTTCGGCAATTTCAGTTGCACGCCGACAAATGTCCAATGCACGTCGACAATCACCTGATACAGACGCCACTTTTCTGTTGAATGAATTTCGAATTAATGAAAATGGTCTTTATTGACATGAAATCTTTGTAAAATACCTTGCAACCAGTTGAACTGCATCGGCCATGAAGCAATTCGAGCCAGCGAGTCGTGTCATTACAACCTCTTGCAATTGTTTGAATGAATACGGTTGAAATGTGATGCGTGTTAGACCCAATCGAGAGGCAACTTTTAATTTTAAAACACGTTCGGGCAAATCCATCGTATTTGCGATGGTGATTGCAATTAATCGAGATCCCTTGCGCACAGTCCAATCGAATAAATTGTAAACAACATCCTGTTTTCGATTACATATTATATCAAGCTCATCGACTAGTAATACCTAGAGTGACCCGGAAAAGAGATTCAATTTTATAGAAGTTTTGTAAAAATCCAAGTGCAAATTAAAGCAATACCGTTGGTCGGATGGCTTTTTTCGATCCAGCTGTGAAACGACTTTCAAGCAAATCACGTGCCTGTGCCCATGCCATTGTTTTGCCGGTTAATTGACGATAAATTTGAACATATGCTTGACGTGGTTCTGTCAGTCTCATACCATTTATATCAACAAAATCAAATGCAGGCACTTTTTTCGGTTTCGACTTGTTTTGAATGGTTTTTATTACTTGAGTAACAGTCGCTGTTTTTCCTGTATAAAAATATTGCAATGTTGAATGACATCAGTTTCGTTTCTATCGAAAGATCTTCGAATAAGCTTACCGGTGCCAGGAACACCTGATATATAAATACAACCACCAGATCCATCGGTTAATTTTCCTATGATAAATTCATAAATGCTTGAATACTCTTTTTCACGACATGGCAAACTGGTGGGAACGGCTGACACTTGAAGTCGTTCACGAATCATTTCCAGTTCAGTTTGATCGCCACTTATCACTTCTTGGCGGCTTTGAATCGATGGTGTAAGACCACCAGATCGATAGAGGCTTCTTGTTTGTTGTGGTGTCCTAAAATAAAGACAACATCGAGTTATTTATTTGTGGATTTTCCAAATGAAATGTTATAAACTCACATTGTTGTGCCTTTTGGAGTTTGTGGTGTATGTGGTGTTTTTGCCGCTGTTGTTTGTCGTTTGGATACCGATTTCGGTGTTGTGGGTTGACTGAGTAAAAGAATTTTACACGAATTTTTTTTAATCAGATCAAATTAAATGATGAGTAGAAAATGGTAATTTTTTACCTAATCGCCTTTCCGGTGCTCTTTCGCGTATTTTTCGATTTTTCATTCTCCGGTGAATTATCGTTCATCACAGTGGCGCTAATTTTGTTCTTTGTTTCTAACATTGAGACACGTGTTGAACGGCGTGGCGTTGATTCCACTTTTTTGCTTTGTTCATCAATAATCGGCGGCACCACCATCGTAACTCTGCGAGTCGATTTATTCGTTGGCGTATCTAGATTAATCATCAATAGTAGTATTAGTTTTAAAAAATTAAAAAAAAAATGGTTAAGAATCATACTTTTTGCGCTGTCTGTTCTTAGAATGCTACGACGTTGTTTTGGTGTTTCCGTATTGGAATTATGTTCACACAACACTTTTTTAAATGTCATCTTTAAAGAATCTTCTTTAATTTTTGTCTCAAATGCACCTTCCACTCCCGTAAAGCTATCGTTTAAATTTTTGCGACATTTTTCCATATCTTTCGGTGCTGGTGATGGAAATGTACCATTTCGTGTGGCCGATGATTCCAAACTTGGCGTATGACTGAATTTATTTCGTTTGTTTGGTGATACATCATTATTATCATTTGCGTTATCGGGCGATGCACGTTTATTTGATGGTGATATGTGATGTCGACTGCGTGGCACTTTCTGTACAGATTTATTGACAATTTTAATTGGTGTTATTTTTATGTTATTCACTTCGTTGCCATCATCGGATGTAAGACTTAAGTGTAACTGATTAATGGTCGTGCTTAAACTAACCACCGCTTCGTTTGTATCCTCAGTATCGGTATTCAAATCGGTGTCATAGATTTCACCCAAATTCTGTTGTTCTTCTTCACCAATCTGCCAATCGACTGGCACCAGTTTGTAACATGTTTTTTTCACCAATTTATATCGACATACGTAAGCCATTGAATTTGATTGAAGAAAATCCGTCACCGAATCATTTTCTTTTGCTTTAAATACGACGCATGGGCCGATAATTTTTGTTAATTCAATATTTTTCGACTCAACGATATTCTCGATTAATTCACGTTTATGAAGTTTGATCTTTGAACCATTATCCGATTTCAATTCGATACCCGGCGGCAATTCGTTTTTTCTATTTAAGTAAGTTAAAACAAATTTTTAATATTTCAAATGGTTCAGCGCAGAAATGAATGAAATGTACTTACCGTAGATAGAAAATAACATGAGCACGATTCTGATCGATGATGTGTTTGATTCGAGCAATTCGCAGTCGATTATTCTCATCTTGTTCATCTGCAACCCAAATAAAATCGTTGCGTTTGGGCATATAACCAAGATTCACAACACACTGCTTATTCGCTCTAAATTCCAAAACAAATATAAAGTATCCAAAGTTTTTTATGCTGTCAAAAATTTGCTTTACACAACGACTTATATTACTTTACACTTACAATTGATTTCGAATTTCGGCAACATGTTCCATTTTCATCGCTTTGTTTTTACCTCTCTTTGTTTTTTTTTTTTGGTTTTTTTGTTCTATTTCGTCAACAAATGGTATTTTCGGTGAATTTTTGTCAACTCGGCGAAATTGATGCGTAAAGGAAATAGAACACTCACCTTACCTGTGTGAAACACAATGCCCTCACTTATATGATTGATTGCAATGAATTTTGTTGAAAATCGCATACAATCAACGTTAAAATCAATGATTGTTCTTTCTTAAAACAAATAAAATATGGATTTTTTAAAAGGAATTCTCAATAAAATATCCAAATTAGAGAAATCGAACCACTGAGGTCGATTGGTGTGTTGACAGTTGTTTCGTTGACAAACAATTTCGCGCCAAATATAGCAGGGTTGGATTATGTGTAGAATTCGTTGTGTTTTGTACACCCATGATTCAAATTCAGCAATCGGCACATTACTGTTGAAATACACATATTTTAATTTTAAAAAAGAAGATTTTCGACATAATGTATAGAACAATGATCAAAAAGTGCGCCTTCTGATTTGTTGATGCCACTTTTAGCTGGATGCATCCAGATCATGAATTTATGATGGCTTAGACTAGATCTTTTTAAATGATCTTATTTCAACATCTTCTCTTAATTTGAAAAATATTTTAAAAAATTTATTAAAATTGATTTTTTCAACTTTTGCTTCAATTTGCAATACAAAATAAGATAATCCACCTTTTATTCCTGATGAGGTTCATGAAGTCCGTTAGTCATTGGATCGCAGTATTTAATTTTTCCTTTCGTTTTTACTTTGGTCGAACGATTTTGTCAATGTGGCTTTTAACTTGTTCACACATAATAATGGAATTCGTATAACTGAAAAAGGTAATTGAATTTATTGGCCCATCTTCATTACATGCTAGACACCTTTACAAACTAACATGTAAAATCACTTGAAGACATCACGTGCCTTTGGATCAATATTACTACTCGAAAAATCACAGTCCATAAAACCCACGTAGTTTTTTATGTCCCACAATACAGTTGTTGTTGTTGTTCACATCAAGCACAGAACAAATAACTAATTGTTGCGAGAACAATTCATCAAGTTATACCTGGCACTTATCGTAAATATTAAAAGTGATTGTCAATTTACACGTGATACTTACTTTTTGCCATTTTTTGATTCAACATGCGACTTTTTACGAAAAAAAATAAATATCAAAAAACCATTTAAATGCTCTTTCTAGACCAATATGTGTGAAGTTAATGAAAAATTATCAAAATTCATTAGATCACACTTTGAAATAATGGCAGAGATCTTTCAAAAATTACTTTGGTCACCAGACAATTTGGTTATTCATTTGAAAAATAAAAAATATATATAAACAAAAAAAAAACAATTGTATGTTTTTTTCTACTTACCATTTTACTATTTCTGGAATATCTCAATGTTTTTAATCTATGTTGAGGCATTCTTATTGGAACTTTTAACATTCGATTTTGGATGATTATCATATGTATTCAAAGTTTATCTTAATAACGCTAATTGATCACTAGAAAATAGTTTTTGACAAGAAAATAGAAAATTTCATGGACAATCAGCATTACTAGATTGTGCAACATCGATATTTTCTGTTAAAAAAATACTGTCGCTGGATGATTCATAACATTTTATTGGCATGAATAATTGATGTTAGTTTACATCAACTAAATCGAATTCGCCGAATTTTCAGATTTTTTTATGATTTCCCATATTTTTGGCAATTTTTAAATAAGCAACTGACATTTTATATAAATAAAATGAAACGCAAAAAAAAGAGACGAAAAGAAATAAAAAGAATTTCTTCGAAACTTTACCAGCGAAGGAGCGTGACCATAAATTAAATACATTGTTTATACAATTGTTTGCATCATACCACCGCAAAGAAAAACAATAAAAATGAGATTATAAACAATTAGACCGAAAAGTTGGTTAGCATAAAGACTTTGTAATCGGATTCGGTAGAATTGTGCGCACACAGCATCGGCAGGATCAATTCTTTTAATTTTGTTTTTCTCTTTGTCGTTTACATATTTCTCTTAAATGTATCCAAGAACATCGGACAATACGGATAGAACGAGAGAGTTTGTATAATTTGATTAAATTGGCTTCAGAAAAAAAAACCACTCAATTGATTAAAACACACCAACACAGTGCTATGCAAACAGTTAATACTGTGCGGCATGCAAAGGGAAAAGTGAAAAATTGAAAGGCCACTATAACGACTAATTTAAGTGATATTTTGTCGTCGATCTGTTCGGTTGGGCTGAGCGCGCCGAGTATATGTGTTCTTTTCGTAACGAATATATATGACAAAACGAATTGAACTGAAAAAAACTCAATTGAATGATTCAAAAACATAACAAACACAAGTGAACATAAAAAAAAAAACAAATAAACAGCAAAACGGTAATACAACGGCATTCGGGCACTAACAGAGACATACATGTTAACTGATTAGTCGCACAACGAAATTCGTATCGAATGGAAAGCTTCGTTGACATGCACACACTCATCAAACACATTCTAGTCGAAAGAAGATTGTGCGCGCAACCAACTCAATTACACAGTCATTCAATGTTAATTTGGCTATCGTTAGAATCGGCTAGATTCTCGATTGTGAGCGGTTACAATTTTAAAGTCGATTTCGAACAGGAATAACGAAAACTCGTCCAAACGGATGAGAACGCAAAATGCATCAGCATGAGAAATGATGTTCAAGATTTTTTTTCTCTCGATTGAGTGAATTAAATGCGAAGACGTTATTGTGAAGTGAATATGATTGGTGGGTGCTTTTAAATTGTGTCGTGCATTGGGATTAAATTAATTTGACCGACATAGTTTGACCAACATGTGAGTGCCATTGAGTTTCTCAATTCAAAAATTGATTAGTATTTGCGACATTTTATTCTTGTTCGCATTTTTATCATATTCTGATTGTAAGTGATCGATGAACTATAACGACAAAAAAATAATAATACCGATTTTGATCTGTGCAGGAATGCAAATTAGTGAATCTAGAAACAAATTAGCTGCTGATTGGAAAAATTCTAATTAACAGTGAATCGAATGAAATTGTGAAAAAAAATGTACATTTCATTCTCTAATCAAACCGAAATAGTTATTTTGATCTATAGTTTGAATATGCCGTCGACTATCAGTAGCTAACAATTCACAACGTTTACATAAGAATAGTGTGCGTGTGGTGACATTGAAGAAATATCATTCGGAAAAACTCTTATCGATATCCTGAATTTGTAAAAAATCAACAACAAGTGATTTCAGGTAGGTTTTATACTGTGTGGTCTTCGTCTTTTTGGTTCGGTGAATTTATTCCTTGAAAACAGTTTTTATCCCTTTTATTGATCAGTGCCGTTGATATTTTACAAAATGAAACATTTGAAATTGCATGCCGTTTTTGTTTTGTTAAAAATTAAATTGAGTTGCTTGAACTTTAAATGCATTTGAACGTAAGTTGCGTTTGCAGCATTTAAAATTATCAATTGACAACAATTACTCACGCATTAATTGAAAGATTTAATAGAAGACATTATTTATCTTATCACAAATGAGCACAAAAACAAATTGAGATAATGCAGTTCGGTTTCGATTCGTTTTCATGAGGTGTCATAGTTTTATGGTTGATTGTGTGATTCAAAAGAGAGGAAAAAAAATGGTTTTATTTGAACGAACAACATTGTAAAAATATTAAAATAAATAAAACATTTTGAAACTAGCTTGCACACCCGAAAAAAAGAGTATCATCGAAATATCTAGAAAGTGACGAATTTTAGTGTCATCACAGCATAAGAATGAGAGCAAGAATATCATCTTTGATAGAAATGTCTTGAATTTTTTCGTTGATTGAATGAATGGAAGCCAGTTTCATTTTTTATCAACTGGTTTCACAAGCAATATGAACATACAAAACGAAAACGGTACTCGTTACATTAGAGATAATAAAACTTTTAGTGATTTCGAAATTGATTTGGTGTATTTTGAACGACGAATAGTTGGTTTTATTTGAACATGATTGAGTGACATGCGATAGGTGCAAAGAAAGGGGGGTTTTACCCCCTCTATCATATAGGGGATACCCGAGTATACCGGCGACGCTCTTTACAGATGAAAAATAAGGTTTTCCCTTCTGAACTTTTATCAGTCAATATGCTAGTATTTTTTTGGTGATAAACTGATGACCTTCTGCTTTTCACTTTTTCCCTCTCAAATGCATTTGCCTCAGTCTAAATAATATCGAAAATCACATGCAAACATTTCTTTTCGTCGTTTTTCCCTTTGCAAAAGTGAACCGAGTACTTTTATAACAAAATAAATAGAATTTTTCTTTGTGGATGACCATATTTTAGTGAGTGGCAATAATGTGACATTGTTTTAACAAATTTATTATGTTTTTCCTTATCGATTGTTCTCACAGAAAAAAGCGGATATTTTAAACCCAGAAATCGGTTTTAATCACAGCGGAAATATTTCTGGGTTTTAGTTAACCGAAAACCCGAAAAACCAGATAAGACTAAAATTTGAGGTTTACATTTTTTTCGTCTTTTCTACTCTCTTTTTGCTGATATGAAACTCTCGAAGACTCGGTACAATGCAAAAAATAATGAATTTTTTTTTTTCGCTTTTTCGACTCTTTTTTGCTGTTACTATGCATATAAACATATGAAACTCTCGGTATAATGCGCAAAAATATCGGCTTTCCGATTAACTAAAACCCAGATATCATTCGGCTGTGATTTAAACCGATTTCTGGGTTCAAAATATCCGCTTTTTTTCTGTGAGTTTGCTCACAAAAATATGTGTGCAGTATTTTTTCCGGTTTTTTAAAAGAAGCAATTGATGCGCAAACGTCCGAATGACTGCGTGAATGAATTTACTGCTACTGCAATAGCGGCAGCTGAACAGCTTGAAGTGAGTTCAATAAAAGAAAAATTTGCATATTTAATGAGTTTGATCAAATCGAACAATCAATTAGATCATCGGATGAGCGAGCAAATCGTTTTCGGTTCCGTGTCATCGACAATTTCAATTCTCTGTAGGCTTGTTGCGTTTTAATTTATTTATTTTCCGAGTGTGTTGTTGTTTTTTTTTTGCGTTGTTGACAATATTTCGGCTTCAATTTGTCGAAGTTCTGCAAAGCTATCTAAAAACGATCGAACTATTTATTGAGCCCCCAATAAATGGGCTTGATCTCTTGTGTGTGCGGAAATAAATGGCATCGAAATGCATCTATCTGAGTTGAAAAAAAAAAATGACCGGCAACCGGAACAATGCAAATGCAGTTGATATTTCAGCCAAATATACCACCCAATCAACCCAACCTTCGGACACACACAAACACATACATATTTTTCGACTGCATTTCTGTTGCACTCACAAAACAACTATCTCATCAAATGTTTATAAGTGCATTCTATTCAAACCGATTATTGTTAAGTGACAAACAATCGATTTACGCTCTTTCATTCATACAATTGTCACTGCCGAAACGAACGAAATTGCAATTGCCGTCACTCAATTTGTTTAGCTAAATGTGAATCGATTTCGTTGTATGCATACGATTTAACTGCAATTATGGCACATTTGTTAAGTCTAAACCTACCTGTCATTGCATTCATTATTAAATAACATGAGTTTGTGGAAAAAAAATGTACAAAACAAACGATGAAAATAAATCTATCCCAGATTTGAAACATGTCATACAATGCAAATGATATGTTTGCTTAAATGATCAAATGTCAGACTTGACCACCAAATTGCATGCATGCTAATTTGAAATTCGTCAGCAAATTGAATCAAATAACATGAAAAATCAACTTACTGCAGTTCCCTTTTTTTTGTTTCTTTATCGCGTAATTGAAGATTCTAAGAAAATGTTTGTTAGGCTTAGTTATGGAATTTGTTCGTTTAATTTTTAAATTCTTGATTTTTTTTTTCATTTCTTTCAGGATGAATATCGCTGTAGTTGCCTTTGTTTCTCTAGTTTATGCGACATCATTTATTGATGGCACGTACGGATCTGGCATGGCTATGCCTACAGCCACTGACAAAAATCTGTTAAAGAAAGAATATTGTGAACCCGGAGCTGCATATAAGTTGTTTGGCTACGATTGCTCCGACATGGGTTTGGTAGATGTACCACAAAATCTACGAAGCAGCGTTAAAGTAATTTATTTTGATATTTGGAGAAAAAAAAATATTCAGCATGACTTTTCATTAAACTATCTCCCGATCCTATATCGCACGCATTCATTCTCTTTATGTTAATTCCACTAGATCACGTTATAATAATATACATTTATTACATTCGGCATTGTCTATGCGATGACTCTCCCCATATTTAATATGCATTCGAAATGTGCAACCAGAAGATGTGTACGCAATGATCATTTTCGTATTTCGAAATATTGTTCTTAATTGATAGGTCAATTTAAAAAATGTATATTTCGTACAAACAATTACAATTCAGACACAAATCAAACGACATAAACATATAGAAGAAGAAAATAAACCAACATAGACGCACACATACACATACACACGCAACCAAGCAATTTAAATTAATTTAGCGTTCGGCAAAGGAAAGTGCCATTCTCAAATTAGTCGTTTAATTTCAACGCATTCGAAATAAGAGACACAAAGACGGTCAAGAAATAAGATTCAATTATATTGTGTCAGTGAACGGGACAGAGAGAGATAAAGAATAATATGAATGATTTCATTTCATCTGTTCACATTGTGAATTGAAGCAAAATATTTATATATATAACATAAATGTCATCTTCAAATTCCCATTGTCTAATGTCCAAAAAACGGCGATTTAGAAATTTTATTTATCCACTTTGAAGCATAATTTGCTTTTAATGTAACACAAAGAAAAACTGAAATGTAAACAAAAAAATTTAGAATCAATAAACATTATGAACACATCGACCATTGCTCGAACTTTGCTTAATAACTTTTACATATGAAAAGATGTGAGGGTTTTTAATTAAAGGCATGACGATTGTTTCTATCATCCGTTCCCACTTGATTCATTTTGTTCTACATGGTTGACATCAATATAACAACGTGTATTGATCATTTTTCTACTTGAATAATTTGTAAACAAGTAGTAGTAAATATGAAAATTACATATTTTTTCCCATGTAATCTACAAAATTTGTAGATTATTCAATTTTGGCGAAAAAATATATTAAAACCACCAGAAATTGTATCAAAATACCAAAAATTGAATAGAATTTTTAGGGTAATTTTTATTGAGAACGTGTCAATTATTTTTATTGGACATTTAACATAACAAATAATTTCAATAGAAACACATTTTATTCAGTCACCAACTTCAAACAATGTTTTCAGTGGCAATTTGTCTCTAATTTTGAATAATCTACAATGTATTGTAGAAACTGTGGAGTATACATCAGTAATGTGCGAAGGGAGGGGAGGGGGGGGGGGGCTTTTCCCCCCCTGTGATTTGGATGGGACAAAAATTTTTCGTGAAAATTATTCGAATTTGCTAGGGTTTTTCACGAAAAAAGTGAAGACCTTTTTTTTTTTTTTTTTAGCTCATCAATGTAGAAAATTGAGGAGAATTCTTTCAATTTGCTAAGGTTTTTGGTTCCGAGAGATTTTTTTCCGATTTGCTAGAGTTTTTCGCGGAGAAAATTCTTTCGATTTGCTACGGATTTTCGCCTCAAAAAGTGACTTCCAAAAAAAAAAAAAAAATAAATAAAACGAAAATTTGTCTGATTCGCTAGAGAATTTTTTGTTTTTGAAAAATCACCCCCCCCCCCTGTAAAATGTAGCTCGCACATTACTGGTATACATATTGTACGTAAATTACATTTTTTTTTGATAATCGTGTAGATTTGCCAACCCAGTGCGCTCCGAATGGAATTTTTTTCTTTGATAAATGCAGAAGTTTCGATTTTTGTTTGGCTCTCATTGTTTTAAGATTTCAATTGAATTTTATGCAAAATCAATCAATTCTATATATTATTGGATCTTATAGATTCTGGACTTGTCGATCAATCGAATCAGAGAATTAAAGAAAACATCATTCAAACGATATTCCGATATCAAATTATTATATTTATTTGATAATAAGATAAAGAATATCGAAGAAGGAACATTTGCCCATTTGACAAATCTCGAGGTAATGACACAAAAAATTTCACGCAGAGGATTCTCTAAATTGATATTAATAATTTATGATTCATAGGCCATTGACCTTTCAAGTAACACCTTAGTAACCATTTCAATAGAGCTATTCGAGCTGCCACGTCTAAGGAATTTGTACTACAGTGACAATCCACTGTCGCAGGACCGCATCGAGGCTGATTTAAAGGTAATGAAGATAAATATTATCTCTTTGAATATTTAACCACTTTTATCCATTATTTCACTCAATGTTCAGCATTTAGAAAAACCGATAGCCGCTCCGTTACAGAAACTATTTATGGCCGAATGTAGTTTAACATCGATTTTAGATTTTGGAATATTACCCGATCTTGTCCATTTGAATATTTCATTTAATGTTTTAAATGAAATAACGCCACAACAATTTTCACCATTTTGTAACTTGCGAACGGTTACAATTCAAAATTCAACCAAATTAAATCCGTGCACGTGTAAATCATTGCAAGCATACTTTGATCGAAGGCTTATCTTTTTAAATCACACATTCGATTGCCAAACACCCCATGAAGGTATGAGAATTTTACTTTTTAAAAAAAATCGAAAATTTATAAGTGCAGTAAGATGAGTATGTGTCTTTTTAAATTGACAATTGTTTCAGAAGAAGTATATTGTTCGGAATCAGTGAATGCAACAGTCGATTCGGACGAATACAATAAATGCTTGGTCAGAGTTGAAGAGAAGATACGCGAAGAAAAATCCAGAGAAATGTGGCTTCGAATCTCAATTGGTTTGGGCGTATTTTTTGCCATTTTTATTTGTAAGTTTTCAATCATTTTTAAACTATATTCGAATGGATCTTATTCAAAATAAAAATAAATTTTATTTCAGTTGTACTATACTATTTCCATCGACGCAATGCACAGCGAACCAAACAGTTAGAAAAACAATCAACAAAACTACGACACATTCATCAAACTCAAAACGGTAATGTCGAAGTATTACTTACCAAATAAATCAATCGATTCTGATTTCTGTAAATAGTTCCGTTCATCTTTTGATGTTTTTAGCCTCTAATTAAAAACAGCACCATAACACAAATTTAATATTACCATTTTTATTGCGTATCACAAACAATGGGAGGAAATGACACCAAGTTTTAAAATTGGCGCGCTGTTTAGTTTCGATTTGAGTTGTTAAATTACATTGAGGTCCCCTTTGAAATTCGGGGCGCCACCGTTGGCTCAAAGAGACTTGAAGTCTTCACATCCTTCCATTGATCACAAATATTTGTTTTAATTAATGTTTGTTTCAAAATTATGTTGTTAAGTGTGTTGTATTCAAGCAAATGAAACAAAAATTTTGTTTGATTTTTTTTTTCAATTTTCCAAAACATTTTTTGAAAAAAAAAAAAAATCAAAAGAAATTCTAAGTTAAGTTGTGTGCAAACCAAATGTAATGACATTATTTTAAGATGCTTTCTAGCCATATAGCCAAAGATTGCATTTATAAACTCAACCAGCTGGCAACGGCATCATCATTTCCATCAATAGAATAAGAAATAGAAACCAAAAACCAATGAAAATGACAAATGTTAACATCTCTTAGAAATTATAAAGCGCAGAAATTAAGACATTTCATTGTGATAAAAGAAAAACTAGAACTTATGCGACAATAATAGATTTTATAGTCAGCGCTGCATTGAGATTTTTATATTAACTTAGTTATAAGATACATAATATGTATGAGTCCATAATAAAACCGAAAAAGACAAACTTTTTATTAAATTGTTTTAATTGAGAAATTTTTCGTTTTTTTACCTTTTCTTATTTTTATTTAGCAATTTTATTATTTAATTTTTGAAGATTTAATTTTATTTAAAAGAAGAAAGAGAGAAATAAAAAAAAATGTTATCAATTTTTTTTTTCAATTTATCAAGGCATTGTAACAGATTTTCTTTTTGTTTTCGAATTGAAAATTCTTAAAAAAGATCATTGTTTGAATCGAGAATACAATCAGTAGCTGGATTATCAGTTAAATCACGCTTTGTTTCGCTTTACTTCTATCGAAGTATCCAAAAGCTACAGGATACTTCCTACACAAACTGCATTTAGGAAAAGGTTCGTGAATACTGACTAAAATCATTTCATTTTTCACCTTTTTTGTCCATAAACTTGAGACACATCCAATAAACACTAGTTTTCATTTTTTTTGCTAGAATGGAAATCCTTTAATTAAAATTAAAGCCAAATATCTTAGAATCATAAGTCAACAATTGAGACTTTATTAATTGAAATTTTATGTCATGGGTAAGAAGTAATCAATTTCATTAATTTCCTTTTTATCAGTGAGTCTCCTGGCTCTTTGCCTTGTACGCGTTGCTAACAGCACAGATTACTGCAAAATAGATTGTGGAGAAAGTAAACATGTTGGTTGCAACGCTAATGATGTAAGTCAACAATCAAGTCGAATTCAGTTAATTTTGATGGATTGTTTTTGACCCATCACAGGAATTGAATGGGTCAAAATAAAAATCGCAGGGTCTATAAAAGTGGAACATGGAGCTTTTTTACATAGTTTATTTGATGTAATACAACAACAATTCAACAATGTAAAAAAACGCTGTGTTTCACTTTTATAGACTCTGCGTGCAAGTCGGATTTTTATTCTGACTCATTCGATCGAAAGAAGGTTGTTCAAGCGGAGCAAATATTTATAGATTCAATTCGATAGAACGTCAGTACATTTTGGATAATCGTTATTACCGAAATGCCATCAGCAACGGAAGCATTCAAGGCATCGATAAATATTTCATTTAAAAGGTTCTAAAATATTTGTAACTCATTTCAGGTTTGGGACGAAGATCTTGGTTGGCATAAACACACGCAGTTGTTTTGAAAATAGGTGAGATAACGACGATTGATAAATTATCTTTATTGTGTTATCAGTGAAAAAGCAGTTGGTCATTTCACTCAGGTTTGGGAAACAAATTGGTACGACGATGATGGAGATGAAACAGCGTTTTTTTTCACACAGGTGGTATGGGCAAATGTAACGGCAGTCGGATGCGGAGCGACAACCTATTTCAAAGATGGATTCAATATTTTTCTTATGACATGCAACTATGCAGCTGGAAATATGCTTTCATGGCCAGCGTATCTCACTTCTCACATAGGATCGGGCTGTCAAACCGGAACTGACTCAACTTTTAAGGCATTATGCACCGACCAAAAAAATATTAATTCCAATAACTACTATCAACCATAAATTATCTTTTGTTTCACATTTAAATGCAGAGACTCACAAAATGCTACTGATCGTTGTTGATGCGGTCGCGTTGAAATAGTTATTGTTGATTACGGTACGTTGACTTTTATTCACGTTCGCAACCAGTGTCAAGTATTCCAGTCACCAGTCTTGGAAGAATTCAAATTTCGAACGTGAATGAAATGATTGAACAACTGCGTTAGATTCAACGCGTATGTAGCAATGACGGTCAACAGTAAATGTGAATCTCTGTTTAAATGTAATGACGATTTTCGAAACAATTCATAATTGTCTTTTGCAAATTACTACTTATTTTCAATTGGAAGCAATAATGTAAAAATATAACTGAGTAATAGAGAGAAAAAACAGATATTTGAACGCGTTTCTTGACACCTCTAACGGCAATTCAAATGTATATACATTTGCGATTAGATAAATGTGTGCGAATGTATACGTGTTGCTCAGAATGAAAAAAACTTTAGATCACATCTACTGCTCTCTCTCTCTCTCCCTCTATATATTACTGACAGCTAAAAGTGTCAACCGAACAAATCTTGTCCGTTCGAACGGTTCGAAAGCCCTAGCAAATTCCCGGACGTCCGAACCGATGTTCGTATAATGTACATTGGTTTTCGGACGTCCGGTCCGACTGTCCGAAAATGGGAACGGACATTCGGATTTTTGCTCGGATTGTGACGGAACACATTTTCGATAAACTCCGTTCGCGTTTTCGGACAGTCGGACCGGACGTCCGAAATTCAATGTACATTATACGGACGTCCGGGAAACCACTAAGGTTTTCGGACCGGACGGGCGGACAGAATTGGACAAATTTCTGTCCGTCTCTGTTCGGTTGATACTCTTTCTGACAGCTAATGCTTCATATTCAGTACTATTCCAACAGCTCAATAAAGCGCATATTAAACCAGAGCTTAGCCATTATTCATATTAACAGTGTGTTCAGAGAAAAAGTTATAGCATTAACGTTTAGAAACGAGAAATTTAAAGACTTCAAAACCAACCATGGAAAATCTCTCAAAACCTTCAAGTGAAGAGAAAACAGCACTAAAATGGTTCAATACACATTTCCTTGAGAAACATTTGCAAAATTATTTCAATGACAAACAGTTGTCGGTTGCTAGTTTCGATATAAATTCGGGCTCTGGCAAACGGGATAATTTTGCCAGCGCTCTCTTTCGACTAAATGTTGTGATTAGTAATGATTCAAATTGTTCATCGACCAAAGTACGGTTTGATTTTAGTTTTCAAAGATCGACTGTAGACATTCACTTATATTAAAATTTGCAGATTCTTAAACTTATTGTGAAAACCAACCTCGAAGCTTCTGGTTGTCTATCTCAGGCCATTTCGGATTTCGATATTTATGGCAAAGAGATCGAATTCTACCGAGATATTGCTCCGCAAATACAAAATTCATTGAAAAAATTGAATGAAAATTTTCCATTGACTGCCATAGCTTATGGTGTGGATACGGCGGAGACTGTGATGTTACTTGAAGATTTAGTTGAAAGCGGATATCGTTTGACTTCCGTACATGAAGGTTTTGATGTGGATGGTGCAAAATTGGTATTGAAGAGGATTGCAACATTTCATGCGATCACTGCAATTCTTCAGCAAGAAAATCCAAACATTTTCAACAATTTCAAATATGGTTCGAATTCTTCAATTTTGATGCCATTTTTTTTAAATGAAAAATATTGATAGAGTGATTATTCATTTACAGGAATGGTGACTCGTCACACAGATTCATACAATACATTTTATACGACTGGACTTGAAATAATAATTGAAATAACTTCAAATTGGCCGGAATTCACAGTATACACCGAAAAGTTGAAAAAGTTACGCGAAACTTTAATCGAAAAAGCTCGCTGTACTTTTGATATCAAACCGCAACACTTCAATACATTGATCCATGGTGATATGTTCGTATATTCAAAGTTAAACATTTTCAATCAAAATGTTGAAAAACTGATTTCTTCTTAGATGGATCAACAATCTGATGTTGAAATTCAAAAAAAAGCCCACCGAGTTGGAAATTGAGGATGTAATTTTAATTGATTTCCAGTATACATGTTGGAATTCACCAGCAAATGATTTGCAGTTTTTCTTCAATTCATCGCTGAAGGAATCGTTGCGTCCAAATTGTTTCGATGAACTGATTGAGTACTATCATCAGCAGTTGGTGACATTTTTGAAGCGGCTGACATATAAAAAGTCCATCCCAACACTGGAAGAGTTTAAAGCACAGTTCTACGAGAGAAGTTTCTATGGTAAAACGAAATAATATTTCATAGAGAATTCTGCTTACCTCTCACTTTTTCGAATAGGTTTTATTGCTTCATGCTTCGAACAGCCCGCAATGACCAGTGAAGAAACCGAAGAAGCAGACATGAGATCATTACTAGGTGTCGATGAAAAATCTATGAACTACAAACGATCCATTTATCGATCACCTAAAGTTCAAGACAAATTACGCAAACTCATTCCAATTTATGATCGCATGGGATTGTTTAATTAAATTTACAACAATTGTAAAGTCAAAAAGACAAGGTTCTTCTTACCTTGAATATTTTTGTTTTGTTTCATGTTGCTTGCACTCAGAAAATTTAATCTAATCTTGAGTACAGCTTGCTCTAATAATCAAATAGTCAATATATTCTGAACAGGCATGACAAACAAAATAAATAACATTTATCAAAATAACGAAACTGCCTTTCATTGTATGAATAACATTTTGAATGCATATTATACAAATATAGATTCGTTTAATTAACTGAAAAAAAAAACGATTTTTGCTACGTGTTTTTTTTCTGTTTACCAAATACGTGTTTTGTCAGATTCGTTTGGCTTCATAGAACACTCACTTGTTCTATCAACTCTGAATTAATTGTTATATCACTGTTTCGAGAGGAATGTATTGGGGATAAATTTTCCTGGAAATTTATACAAAAAGTTAAGACGATAAACTTTCGTTCAGGTCATTTGTTTTATTTTTCATTATTTAACAAAATGTCTGTCCATCTATATATCTAACTCTTGCCGCTTTTCTTTATTGATTCTAGCGATATTTCTATAATTTGGTGAAAAATTGCGTATTTTTTCCTCTTTGCTTACTTCAATAGGAGAACAGAGAATGTCATCGATGGTCTGAAAATACAAAAAAAAAATTATTATATGTATCATTAAAAGAATTCCTTGAAATTAAATTTACTTTTTTCGATGTGAGTTGTGGAATTGTATCCAACAATTTACAAAAATTTGTTTTTTCATCCGTCGATGGGTACTTTTTCGAACATTCATTAATTCGTTCAACCTGAAAATGAATTACAGACAAATAGAAAAATATTTAAAATCATCCACAGTGAATGGAATGGAGTGAATGTGTGCCAATGGAAATACTTACCACACTAGGGTATATATTAAATTTCGGGATATCGCTTTTACTTTGTTCAATGAGTGATGCTGCCTCTGCAAAATGACCATAATCGGCTAGTGCAATTAGCCAAATATTCACTGAATCATTGAAAAGATGTGATTTTTTGGTGGATCCCAAAACCTCTAGAGCAGTTTCTGGATGACCCAAATTTATTGCCAGCATACCTAGGGATGATCAGAAGCAAAAAATGGAAATTAGTTAATAAGTAATGGAAAAAGAATCAAAGGAATGGATCATATGCATACTCAAAAAATTTGCACTATGAACAGGGGAAAGTTCTTTCTCTTTTGTTTTATTCCATAGCTCCAGGCCAAATTTTAGTTTTTCTTCTGTATTCTGTAAGCAACAAAATTGTATTTGTTTTTCTCTTTTCTCGTTCGTGTATTTAAGTTTCTTTAAAATCTTACCAGTTTATAGCATGCTGCGATCGCGAGACAGTTTAACTTAGTACATAACTCTCTGCCAAAATTTATCCGGTTCTCAATGTCCATAGAAATAATATCGAGCATTTGATCATATTTACCATGATTGAAAAGTAGATCGGCTAGAATGATTTTCGAATTTAAATGTACACACATATTTGGCATTTTATCATCCTTGAAGATCTACAAAGGCATTGACTCAAATTAATTTAATTGTCGAACGGAGAAATATCAAAAAAAATTTTTTTTACCTGCAATGCTTGATCCGGCAAATTCAGGTAGTGACACATCCGCATTACCAATGGCCCAAAATTAAAAGCCTTCATCTGTGCCGGATTGTTATGAATTAACTGAAGGTTCGTTTGTATTTCAGAAAATTTCTCTACACATTCATCTTTCTTTAGCACATGCATCCAATATTTCATAAACCTGACCAATTTTGCCGCTTCCGTTTCAAATGCCACATTCGTTGAATCAAACGGTAATTGAATCGATCGTTGAATTTCATAATCTTTGATTCCTAGGTAACTTTTTGAGAACAACGTTCTTGTCGATGCGACCATCCCTACAATTAAAATTTAATGATAAAGTTATGGAATACATGAATTTAGTGTATATGATACATACATTGATGTTGCACTACCCGTTGCAACAAAGTTGATTTCAAACACACAATATTCATAATAATAAAAAATTATATAAGAATTTTCGTTTTTCTGTGACTCGTGTACTGAACGCATTAAAATGTGACGTTTCTATAAGCTTTGCTTTGGTTATTGACAGAACTGTCAAAAGTACAATTGTTAAAAACAATGCACGGTTATGTTTTGATTCGACTGATTTTATACGAAATATTAAACAAAAAATTGTGTCGGCACCAAAAATTTAATTTTTCTTTTTATTCTATTATTTTATCAAAAATCGATACGATACCGCTCTTTCAGATCAGGCACAAGCATGCTGTGGAGTACAAGAAAACTAGAACTTATACGACAATAATAGATTTTATACCGAAAAGACAAAAATTCTATTAAATGGTTTTGATTGAGATATTTTCGTTTTTTTTTATCTTTTCTTATTTTTCTTGAGCAATTTAATTTTTGAAGATTCAATTTTATTTAAAAAAGAGAAATAAAAATGTTCTTTCAATTTTTTTCTTCTATTTATTAAGACTGTGCGCAGTGTAACAGATTGTTTTCTTTTCGAATCGAATTTTTTTTAAAAAACATCATTGTTTTTCTCATCATTGTTTAAACCGGGAATACAATCAGTGGCTGGATAATCAGTTAAATCACGCTTTTCCTTCGCTTTGTTTCGCTTTTCCGAATAACGGCTAATTCTTTTTTCGTTTGACAGTTTCTTGCTGTCATCACTTTTGGAAGATTCTTTTGCATCGCTTCGTTTTCGATTTTCATGACTTTTTGATGGTTTCTCCAAATTTATGGTGGTGCTTTCATTTTCAGGTGTCGTTGGATCTTCGGATGTTGTTAAACTATTTGTACGACGCTTTCCTGGCTGATAAATTTGAAGTGATGGCCGATCTTTGTTACGTAAATTGGTAATTGAACGATCCTTTTGCTCTTTTTCGCGTTGCTTCGATTCGGCGTTGTTGCCTCTGCTATCATCATTGGATCTACAATCAAAGAAGATTTTATGAATAAATTATGATTAAATTGTATTTGTTATTCGAATGTCTGACATTGCCGGTATATTTTTTCATATTAATTTAGTAGTTTAAATGAGTTTGTTTTTTTAAGTTCACTAAAATAAAAAGCTAGTCATCGTAGGGGCGCAAGAAGATTCGATAATTAATATGCTTGACGAAATTGATGAAATAATATTTACGTGAAAAAGTAGTTTGAATGCTAAAAATAAAAATTATCTTACGTGCTCCTTGGTGTTGTATCTGCTTGAGAATCTTTAGCTTCGTTGGATTCTTTCTGTTCACTTTTCGACTGTGATGACTTAACGCCCGAATTCGATTCGTTGCGCCGTTTTCTATCACGTCGGCTTTCGCTGTATTTTTTCACCTTTTCAGTGCCATCTTTATCATTTTTTGAGTCTTTCTGGTCTGTTTCAGCTGCGGTTGCGATCGTTACTTTCTTTTCGTCTTTTATTTTTTCACGTTCTTTTCGATTGCGTTCCCGTTCCTCCTTGCGCCTAGCCTGACGCTCTTTATTCCTTTGTTTCTCTCGTTCGGCACGAGAATTTTCAGACTTTTCTTTATTACCATCAGAATTCTTATTTCGATCACGATCCAATGGTCGAGATTTTATGGTACGCACAATAATTCCGTCATCATTTTCCTATAGTAATCATCAATTAATCAGAATATTAGTAGTATAATAAAGTGATTTTAGTTTTATTGTTCAAATCAAACCTTGGCATCTTCTTCAATAGTTTTTGGCATTGATTTTGCCAATTGTACTTTTTTGCGTTGTTTTTCCTCTTCGCGTTGTCGTTTTTTATCTTCAATTTTTCGTTTGCGTTCATCTCGTCGCTCTTGTCGGACATTTGCCAAATATTCCAATAACGGTGTTGATGTAATCTTTTGATCTTGACGTAAGTAAAAACAACAACATTTTTAGATTATAAAATTTTCCAATGTGAAGGCCAAAAATGATGCTTACCATCTTTGATTTGAAACGAGTATTCCATTTTGAGTTCACTTTTGCCTTCAGTTTCGTCCTCTTTTAACGATTCCAAGAATGTCAAATAGTGTTGTTCATTTTCAATGGTGCTGGCCTTGTGGTCTTTTTTCCTTGATTTTCCTTTGGGTAAACCTTGGAATGGAGCAAACTCAACGACAGCTGGATACTCGGTACCTTTATTATCGACAAATACATAACCATCGAATTTATCACGAAAGATGAAAATGTCGTTTTGATTGCAAAAATTAACATAAGCTCGGCATGTAGCATTCACACCCAACGACCAATCAGCCGCCACAAAATAGAAATAATCATGATCGGGAATTGGTTCGATTTGTTTCACAAATTCATCTTCGGTCATCGTTGGCGGAAGACGACGAATTACAACCTAAAATACATCAAAATAAAATTCCATTTCGCTTCATATTATTTGTTTCAAGAAAATACATTACCTTCGCCAGTGGTTTTACTTTATCTTTACGACTTTTTCGATCTTTCAATTGTTTGGTTTGATTTTCGGTTGTGTTTTGAGCCAATTCTGGCTCTTCTTTCGAATTCTCTTCCAAAGACATGTTTGCCACCAATTTTGACTTTGTTGATGATTATAAACAACAGCAAAAGAAAGAGAATGAATGTATTAAATCAAAAATTGATTAATTTTGTTTTTGTGAATGTGGCTTTTGACGAGTCGAAACGTCAAAATTAGTTCGGATGTCGTTTAAGGTTATGTTTCGATTGTCAAATGTCAATTTTCAAAAAGAAATGTATATTTTTGATATTCAAAGAAAGAAAATGTTTTCGTTTTTATTTTGAATATAAATTTTATTTCTAATAAATCATTTGAATTCGATGCTTTAGCTTGACTTCACTGGTGATGAAATTAAACCAATTAATTTACAATCAGCTTCTAATATGGTTAAATCCTTTTCTTCGCCCAAAAATCGTGATGATAGCTCGAGCTCTGTCACACGTAGCTTTACTTTGGCTCCACGAACATATTTTCTGCAACAAAAAATGAAAATATTAAAATCATCCAAGCGATATCGTGACGATTCACTTACTCTCCATTCCTTTTTGGTCGATTGCATACACAGTTGAATTTCCATCCAAAATCAATGTATAAATCATCGTTGACTACTTGCACAATTTCACCTGACACGACTTTATTCAATGGATCGCCCAGCTAGAAATAACAAAACAAGTCTCAAATCATTAAACTGTTTTTTTTTTATCTTCTTCCAATTGATTAAAATTGAAATCCGGCAAAATTTAGTACACTTACATCAATAAATTTGGAATCTTTCAGCAATTTTTTAAAGGGCACTTGAACAACTGGAGCCGGTTCTTTTTCTTCGTTAATCTTTTCGAGTTCTATAAATGCCTTGGCAAATGAGCCCAATTTATTGTTTGTCTCAACTTTTTCCTCATTTGAACTGGTATTTGCTGCTGCTTCGTCAACTTTATCACTAAAATGTTTTACTTGTGAACAAACTGTCACTCGTGGATACTGTCGAAGTACAACACTTCCAATTTGTGTTGATTTCACTATTCGGGCCAACATTTTGAATTTATTTATAAAATAGTTATGGAAAACTTCGAAAAAGTACCCAAAAAAAATTGTTGAGGTTTTTTTCTTTAGCACATCGATTTGAACATAACCATAAAATAAATGGATGTCAAAACATTGACAGTCTCCACTCATGAAATGTCAGTGGACCGCCTTCTATTCGTGTGAATTATACATGTAGTCGGTCCATTTCGAGTCGACTGTTCCATGTGAAGACATTGAAAATCAACATAGCTCCAAGTTAAACAGAGAATATTTCGAAAAAATTTCAAAAAATTTCTCTAAGCGAATTTTTTATTCGAAAAAATGATCATTGATAATAGATGAAATTGATCAATTCCATTGATTTTAATGCTTTGGTAAAATTAAAAAGCAAAAAAAAAACATGTGAACATCACCGTGAAAACCACGTGGCGAACATGAGGTAATATTTTTTTTCATTTTTGAATTAATTTTTTTTCATTGTTCAACTTTCATTGATGGGGAATTTTGAATTCGCTAATTAATGAAATGCATTTACCTGGAGGGTATTTTCTTTTAGTCGATTATATCCTAGTTACAATAAATGCAACAACAAACCGCAAGGGAATTTCACAATCGAATTGAAACCAAAACTGGTTCGGATCACCTGGGAATTTCTTGCAACATTTTTTTTTCTTTTGCTTTACTTTCATTGTTTCCAATGACACACATTGTTTATAAAACATAGACACCATTAATAATATAGAATATTCCAATTTTATTTCAGGTGAATTTTGTTACCATCATGTGAATGGCATTGAACTTGAGCACAAACAAAAGAGAAAAACACCGTTTTACATAAAGGTAAGCATAGTCCCTGACCAAAAAAAATTTCCAATTCCGGCAATTAATGTATCTATGAAACATGACGAATTTACGAAATGTTTCAATCATTCGATTGCCAAGATCAATCACCGCTGACTTGTGTCATAGTGCCTGTTCGATGCTTTTTTCTATTCGTTCTGGTCTCCATATAGTTGGACAAAATTAATGAAAAAAAAATGTTCACATTTTATTGTGATTTGACGTTTACAATTAAAAAATTCTCTTATAATTTTTATCACAGATATGCTCGCCATTCAACCGCCTGGCCGACGGAGCGTTGATATTTTGTGTCGATAAGGCCGATGAAGTGCCAGCGAGAACGAGTCATTTGCACTACACTCATTCGAGAAAATAATTCCAAAATAATTGTTGAAATTTATTGCTTGTTTTTGATCTTGAATTATTCAATCGAATTGTGAAAAACTGAGTAAAAACATTTTCCGGATGCTTTTTTTGAATAAACACATTTTTGAATCAAAAAATTGAAAATAAAAATCGAAAATACGTGTTTTTCAATTGATTTTGAATAATTTCTTTGTTATTTCTGGAATTTTAATAATCACATCATATTCAAGTTATAATTTAAAAACTATAAAAAAAATATCAGAAATAACCATCTAATTTGGTGGAATTGTACATCGTTGAGCATCTTTGTTTAAGGCATTGGCACTTCCGGAGCTGGTGGGGCGACTGGAATATGATCACCTGTTGCTCGGAAACCTTAATTTAAGAAAACAAACGATAATATTATCAGAATCATACCAATTTATTGCCAAGCATTAACTCGATACATACCATTCTCATCGGCAATCTGTATTCGGTCACGTAAATAGAAAGAAAAGAAAAAATGTTTAATAAAAAAAGTTGTTCTTCATCGCCACAACAACTCTAGCTGATTCTCTAACCAACTTACCCATTCAACTGTGTATTTCTTGCCATCCGTTCCATAAAAAGCGTATATACCGCGTTGTACGTAAATATTTTGTTTGCCATTTTCAGTATCAATAGTTTTTAAAGCACCTTGTTGTGAGACCCCGTAACCTTTATCCGATGAGTAGCTTAATGCAAATTGATTGAAGTCATCGCGGATTTCTGAACGTGTCAATACTGCATCTTGTGGGAATGCCATTGCAATTCCCAAAATGGCGACAAGTGCGATGATGGTCTATAAACAAAATTATTATAATTATTTTACAGTTTGTTTTGGATTGTGATTTTCTAGCTCAGGTATATAAGTCGATTTAGAAAAACTTGATAAAACACCCAAATATTCGAATAATAGGTAAATTATTTATATTTACTTACGATTTTGATCATTTTGACTATTTTTTTTTTCTTTGGATGATTGCTGCTGTTTGAGTGAAGCAAACGGAACTGATAATTTTTCAAATTTATTGGCCCCTTTTATATACAATTTTGAAATTATGATGAACTATTGAAAGTACCGAAATTCAAGTTTTTTTTAATGCTTCAAGCACACCGAGATTGATCAACTGGTTTCAAATTTTGGCATAACGTTTACTGAAACTAGGTAAACCGAATAAATGGATCGTGTTCAACACGTATCCGACGATATGTTCAATTTTTAGATAATACAAATGGAATTACATTCATGACACACCGGTAATCAAGCATTCAAATCTCAAGGCCATTTTGGTATTAGAGGTCTCTGCATTGGATAAACCCAAATTATTCACAACGACAAAAACCTCGAAAAATACATATACATATTAGTTTGATTCATTTCGAGTGGATGAATGCATTTTATCGAAGATTTTTGAGTTTTTTTTCATCATAAGTAGTTTTTCTGAAATATTACAGTTTTTATTTTTTCTAAAAAATACATTAATTTTGAAAAAAAAAATCGTTTCCCCAGAATACGAAAATTACTGGAAAAGCAAATAATAGAATTTTTTAAGAAAATCACAAAAAGATCACGGTTTCAATGACCAACATTATTTGATGAAAATTAAAGAAGAACGAAAAACGGTGTTTTTGCCCAAATAACGAATAATGGGAATTTCTAAAAAAAAGTTGACTTGTTTCGAAGAACGGCAATACCAAACTACTTTCACCTAGATAAAATGTATTGATTTAAAAATAGAATTTTAAAAATAGCAAAAAAAAAAAACATCGAAATGGCTTTAATTTAAAATCCCAGCTACTTAATTTGACTAATTTAAAACGGAGTTTAATTGATTTAGTAATTGTGCATAATTCGATTTTAAAAATCAAATGAGTAGTGGAAAAGGCGGTTTCAAACCGAAAAAGTAGAAAGAAAAAGAAAAGCACTTTATTGATGTACTATTTTATCAAAATAGTGTGCCATTCAGACACAAAGTTACATTTATGTTCCATTAGTTCTTTTTTTTATTTCTATAATTAGAAAAATGATGTATTCTTTTATTTATTGTAATTTTTAAGTAAACATTGAGATGCATAGAACGATTTCTTCTGTATTTATTTTATTCAAATCACAATGTAAGAATAATAGCACAAAAATCAATTCTAATTGAAGTTTCTGCGATCGACAAGAAGATTAAAACATATCTTGGCGTTCTTTATAGTTTCTGTCAATAGCAATGCCCCCACACGTCCATTTTCAGTGTTCAATGCATTTGAGGTAAGTTGACGGTTCTCCTCAATGTGGTTTAATAGCAAAGTGTTCCAACCTTTGGACGCTTAGAACAAGATAAAGAAACGATTTTAGTTAATTTAACTTTAAAAACGAATACAATAATCGAACATGAGCAATACGTATACAATATACTTACAAATTTTCATTAAATTGCTTTCACTAGTGTCGCGCTCTACTGAAAATTGATTCTCGTAGTCCTTTTGATATTTTAGAACAAGTTTAACCAATGACAAGAACGATTGACTATATTTGACCAGCATTCTGGAATCTTCCGCATTTCGCATGCGACGCAATGCATCCAATGCAGAATCGTATGTTTGATAGATACGCAGTTCATGGTGAGCCTTCGAACCTTTATCAGAAATTTTATTCTTAGTTTTTCAAATTACGATGTTTTTTTTGGACGATAACAAATACTAACATGCGAGAAAGTCCTTCACCTCACTCAACTCATCATTTTCCTCTTGTTTGATTACCATTTCTGGAAACAGTGTTTCTGTTGAATATATAAATGAATAAATAACCCAAAACAAGCACAAAGACAAAACGAAACAATATTCACCAAATCGAACATATTTTGTGGAAAAAAAAAAATCTATATTATCATACCAAGAACTGATGCATCTCCCGACAACATTCTCATTTCCATGTTTTTCTTTAACTTTTGCGAGATTTTAATTTTGTTGTTTGATTCCAAAGCTTCAGCTGCCAAAACAATTTTCATGTGTCAAATACGCTCATTAGGCATTTGAATGAAGTTGGCTCAGAAAATAAAATCTTTTGAACAATGCGCTTGTGTTGGTACGAAATGTCACAACACAGAGGAGAACTTCATATCGTTCATATCGGCAAAATTGAATAAAGGGTTTAATAGTAAAACGAACTTTTCCGCACTATTATTTGGAAGCATTATTTCATTTTCCCAGTCATAGAATAGAATAACTGATAGGGTGAAAATGAAAATGGCATATTTTTTCCCATCATATTGAAACAGAACATTCTAAAATAATTTCATTGAAGTAAAACATTTCAACAACGTTTTTTCAACGTAAGACATCCGAAGAATTTTGATTTAAGCTGAACATTTCAACAAATAATTTTCAAATAGAAACATAATCAAGCTCACATAAACATAAAACAACATAAAATCACCTTCAACCATTCGCTTATTCTCATCTTTCTTCTCTTTTTTATCTTTATACTTACTCTCTTTTTCTCTTTTAATTTTGCAAGCGAAAATGCAATTATTTGGTCACCATTTCATTTGTCAAAGGAAAATGTATACATTGGAAGGCTCTGTATGAAAGGCTAACGAAAACATATAGTAACCAAGCAACAAGGATTTGGTTACAAAACCCATCATTTTGTCTTCATCGCATATGATCCAAAATAACATCATTTATTACCATTATTATTTCATTGTATACAGAGTTTATTATAAATTTTTTTAAACTTCATTCAATATATGTACCAAGAATGCAGTTTTTGCGGTGAAACCAAACAATTTAATCTTGAAATAAGAGATTTTATATTTTATTTATTGAGTTGCGTGTTTAACATTCGATTGAGGTGACAAGTCTGGTTGTCTGTTAATTCCATCTAAAAAGGATGCATATGAATATGAACTATCAATATTTGTTGTTGAATTTTCAGCAAAACTCATCCAATCAATGCTGGTTTGACACGGTGGAACAGAGAACTCATTCAAACGCTTTTCTTCAATTGAAAATAATTCATCGTCAATGCAGCAATTTCCAGTTCCAATGAGGCTTTGATGTCCATAAGTGCTCGACAATTTTGTAGATGTCGACAATTTTCTTCGCGTACATTGTTAACTTGATTGTGTTCACCTTCACGAAGTTTCTTCTCGGCCTTAAGAGAGATTCTTCTAAAACATTAATACGATTGTTTGCGTCGTTGAGTTCTCTTTCTAATTCCATATTTTTTGCACAAAAAATATCGATTTCATTTTTTGAGCAATGACAATTGATCTCAATGGAGTGAACTCGATCAATGAAGCAAGCCAAACGATTATTAAGATTTTGCATGGCTACATTTTCGGCAATTAACGTTTCTATTCCTGTATGATCTTCGCTGTACATCGTATTGGGATTTGACTGTACGCTAAACAGTAAACACAGTACAAATGACGAAATGAATTCTAAAAGAAAATGCAAAAATTATCATTTATACTTTTTTTTCGAAACATTTCTGTTGCATACCTTATCTTTTGATCTCTCCTCTGACCATAAATTTTGAACCGATCGTTCCTTATTGTTGACTTCTTTGAACTGTATTTGGAGTATTTTTTTGGAATGGAAAATTTAGATGAAATGCCATGCAGAAATCGCAATGACTATATGATTGATTTTGAAGTTCATATTGTAATTTGAAAAAAAAAAAAAAAAAAAAAACGATTGCTTTTATGAGCTGAACGCTTTCAAAAGCACACACAAATAATTATCCAGATAAAATCCCAGCTACTTAATTTGACTAATTTAAAACGGAGTTTAATTGATTTAGTAATTGTGCATAATTCGATTTTAAAAATCAAATGAGTAGTGGAAAAGGCGGTTTCAAACCGAAAAAGTAGAAAGAAAAAGATAAACACTTAATTGATGTGCATTTTATCAAAATAGTGTGCCATTCAGACACACAAAGTTACATTTATGATCCATTAGTTCTTTTTTTTTATTTCTATAAATAGAAAAATGATGTATTCTTTTATTTATCACAATGTAAGAATAATAGCACAAAAATCAATTCTAATTGAAGTTTCTGCGATCGACAAGAAGATTAAAACATATCTTAGCGTTTTTTGAAGCTTCTACCAATAGCAATGCCCCCACACGTCCATTTTCAGTGTTCATTGCATTTGAGGTAAGTTGACGGTTCTCCTCAATGTGGTTTAATAGCAAAGTGTTCCAACCTTTGGACGCTTAGAACAAGATAAAGAAACGATTTTAGTTAATTTAACTTTAAAAACGAATACAATAATCGAACATGAGCAATGCGTATACAATATACTTACAAATTTTCATTAAATTGCTTTCACTAGTGTCGCGCTCTACTGAAAATTGATTCTCGTAGTCCTTTTGATATTTTAGAACAAGTTTAACCAATGACAAGAACGATTGACTATATTTGACCAGCATTCTGGAATCTGCTGCATTTCGCATGCGACGCAATGCATCCAATGCAGCATCGTATGTTTGATAGATACGCAGTTCATGGTGAGCCTTCGAACCTTTATCAGAAATTTTGTTCTTAGTTTTTCAAATTACGATGTTTTTTTTGGACGATAACAAATACTTACATGCGAGAAAGTCCTTCACCTCATTCAACTCATTATTTTCCTCTTGTTTGATTACCATTTCTGGAAACAGTGTTTCTGTTATATATTACAAGCAGGTCCGTTGCCATATTAGTAACGGTTGATGTAGCTCAGCGAGAGAGAGAGAGAGAGAGAGAGAGAGAGAGAACATATGTTTGGGAAATAATTAATGCGGGATAAAACCCGCTTTTTTACACTACTGATCTATCAAAGTGAAAACAATTCTGCACACACAAGTTTTTTACTGCGATTAAAATGTCGAATTACGTTCCAAAAAAACAGCATTTGCGGGAAGCAATGCTTTTGTACTTTAATCAAAAGAAAAGTGCTTCTGAATGTCATCGTTTGTTGTCGGAAACGTATCCCAAATATTCGATTTCAATAAGTGTATGTGAAAAATGGTTTAGAAGATTCAGAAGTGGTGATTTTGACACGGAAGACAAAGAGCGTCCAGGCCAGCCGAAAAAATTTGAAGATGAAGAATTGGAATTGTTACTCGATGAAGATCCATGCCAAACGCAAGAAGAACTCGCTAAATCATTGGGAGTAACTCAAGCAACCATTTTACAACGTTTAAAAGCATTAGGGTTCATCCAAAAATTTGGAAACTGGTTGCCGCACGAATTGAAACCGAGAGATGTTGAAAGGCGTCTTACCATCTGTGAAATGCTGCTCGCAAGACAAAAAAGCAACTCATTTTTGGATCAAATTGTTACGGGCGATGCAAAGTGGATCCACTACGATAACCCAAAGCGAAAAAAATCATACGTTCGACGCGGCGAACCAGGACCATTGCAAGCAAAGGAAGATATTCATGGTAATGCTCTGTGTTTGGTGGGATCGTGTATTATGAGCTGCTGGAACCGGGTGAAACAGTCACAGGAGATCGCTATCGACTACAACTGATGCGATTGAAGCGACCATTGGACAAAGATCGGAAAGAATGGAGGGAAAAACACAACGGGTTAATTCTTCTTCATGACAATGCTCGGCCACATGTCGCAAATTTCGTCAAACAATACTTGGAAACAACTAAGTGGGAAGTCCTTCTGATTACTACTTGTTTCGAACGATGCAAAACGAATTGGCAGGCAAACGCTTCACTTCTTCGGAGGAAATCGCAAATTGGGTCGGTTCGTGGTTTCGTTCAAAACAACAACCATTCTTTTGGCACGGAATCCATGAATTGCCTGGAAAATGGGAAAAAGTAGTGGCTAGTTTTTCTGAAATATGACAATTTTTATTTTTTCTAAAAAATACAGTAATTTTGAAAAAAAAATTCGTTTTCCCAGAATACGAAAATTACTGGAAAAGCAAATAATAGAATTTTTTAAGAAAATCATAAAAAGAGCACGGTTTCAATGACCAACATTTTTTGATGAAAATTAAAGAAGAACGAAAAACGGTGTTTTTGCCCAAATAACGAATAATGTGAATTTCTAAAAAAATTGACTTGTTTTGAAGAACGGCGATACCAAACTACTTTTACCTAGATAAAATGTATTGATTTAAAAATAGAATTTTAAAAATAGCAAAAAAACAATCGACATTGCTTTAATTTAAAATTCCAGCTACTTTATTTGACTAATTTAAAACGGAGTTTAATTGATTTAGTAATTGTGCATAACTCGATTTTAAAAATCAAATCAGTAGTGTAAAAGTCGGTTTCGTCGCCAACTCTTGTGTCAACCATGCGGTAGCATGAGTTGGCGACGAAACCGCCTTTTCCTACGATTCAAATTTTTACAAATGACACATACAACAAGTCTCTCAAAACACAGATAATAATTTATTTCAATATATAATTCAAAAGATTGCTTTAGCAAAAGCAATATTAAGCCAACAATTATTGTCCATTGATTGCTTTATCTTAATATAAATATATATCTTGATCAAAAAACGCATTTCAAATAATTTTTTTGTTGTTTAAAAATCGGAATGGTTTAGTTTGGTTGTAGGCCAAAAAACGTTCCTGTTTATGGTAATGGTGACGTATGACTCGGATGGCTTGGAAATGGATTTGATTCATTTGATAACGGTGATGCCGATCTGGTGCTGTTTTCCGATTGACCTGAATCCGATTTGTTTGGCGGTTTATTTTGCCAATTCCTTAGGAATTCCACAACCTTAAAAATACACATTAACATTAATTTCATCGAATAAAAATAAAAAAACACGTTTGGTTTACCGTTTCATGGCCAAATGTTTCAGCTTCATCAATTGGCATGTTGCCTAAGGGGTGAATCACAAAAGAAATGAATAGAATTAATTTAAAATAATCGAAAAAAGAATCAAATCGAATTATTAAATAATAGAAAGGCATGTTACCCCATCGATCTTTTGGATCAAATGGAACATTACATTGTTCCAATAAAAATTGAACGCAATCTAAATGACCTTCGGATGCGGCCAGATGTAATGCAGTCCGTCCATCATAGTCCGATAATGTTATATCCATGCCAGACAATTTATGACGACGCAATGCTGTTACATCACCACTTGCCGCCGAAAACAATAAATTTACAATCGATAGACCCTTTGTTTCATATCGATGTCGTCTCGGATCTTTCTTATGACTTGCATGCTTTAAATTATCATATGGATGGAAGTTAAAACCGCTGACCAATTCCTATAAATACAAACATTCATTGTTATATAACTAACATGGCACAATTTCTATATGGAAAGAGAACTTACCTCACAAAATTGAACACCACGACAGCTATTCCTGTATATAACAAACAAAAGTATATCATTAGTTATTGTTTTCAAGTTCAGGAACAATGAAGCAAACTGAAGTGTGTCATTTCTTCCCGTTCTTCGTGCAAATTTTAATGAACGGAGAATTACGTCTACTCTTCTTAAACGATGACTCTTTTGCACGATGATATTGTACGGTGGTACATGAGTGCATCAAGTATGCGACATTCAGGCGCTAATTGAACACTTATTATTCTTGCTTGAGATTTATCTGTACGCAAATTGTGCTAAGCACCATCATCACCGTTTTTGCTAATTATAGAGAATCTTACCCTAATGGATCCAATGGTGGCGACCACGTGAATATGCCCATTACATTCGGAATCACAACAAGCATTCCACCGCAAACACCAGATTTTGCCGGAACACCAACTTTGAACGCAAATTCACCCGAATAGTCATACATTCCACAGGAGTGCATAAGCGATAGTACATCACGAACTACATCCGGTCGAAAGACTTTCTCTTCGGAAAGTGGACAGATGCCACCATTCGCCAATGTAGCGGCTAATATTGACATTGTATCACATGTCGCTTCCATCGAACAGCACTATACGAAAAAAAAAACACATTGATTCATTAACACATTAAAAATCTTCATTTTTAGGCCCAACAAGATGTATATCAAATTAACATCACCAATTACAACAGATGACATATTCAATATGTGAATCGAGCGCCTTCTTTCATTGGAACTATGTTTTTATTTGATTTTAAATATCTTTCAATTTAAATACCATTACTTAATTTTGTCATCAATGTAACCATGATTATTTTTCTCTTTTCAAATTTGTTTCATATTTTAAACATCAACTAAATTTTCTAATTTTAGTAAACATATGACATAATTTTTGTACAGATTTCAGTTTTATAGCTCGCCTGATGAGTTTTACAAATTAAACTTGTATCAGAATAAGAAGTTTTTTCACTTATTTTTTCATAAGATGTATATATCAAAATTTAGACATTCTTTTTTTACACAAATTAATTGAAATAATTTACCTGAAAATAAAAATCCATGCATTCACGCAAATTACACTTATCGGGAAAGCATTTATTTTCACGCATATAAAATCCCAATGCATAATTTCTGTCAGCCGCTTCGCGTTCTGATAAAAATACCGCATTATTGAAACCAAATAATTCACCGCCGGACATTTTCTGTAAAAAAAAATATTTATTGACACAATATTGAGAAAAAACCAGCCACAATCGCATACTCACTCGAAAGTATGATAAAGTGTAATCAAATTTCTCGGCCAATGTCATCTCTGGTTTTATTAGTGTCTTTACCAACGAACATATTATGATTGCACCTGCATTTATCATTGGATTGTGTGGCTTTTCTAAATAATACAACAATTTTGTGATTAATTTTTTTTTTCAATACATTATTTTGTGGTAAATTTGTGATTTGCTCAATACTCACTATTATAATCCAAAATGAGTTCATTGAAATTTCTTCCGCTTGGTTCTTGTCCCACATATTGATGAACCTATGAAATTAAGATTTTCGTAATGATTGCAATCTCACTTTAAACGTTTTCATTCTGAATACAAACCACCTCTTGTCCAAGTTTCTCCAATGCAATGGCATACATCAATGGTTTGCTGCAACTTTGTAATGTAAACGGTACGTTAACATCGCCAATTGAAAATCGTTGACCATCAATTGTGCATACGCTAACACCCCAATAATCAGGATTGACACGTGCCAATTGTGGAATATAAGCAGCAACCTTACCATCTGTATTGCTTTTACATTTCCAGTAAATATCTTCAATGTCTTTGGTGAAATTGAGAAAATCCGGAACGACAAATTGATGACGAAATGCCTTCGAAATCAGAACAATATTCGGAGCAATGACACTGCACAAAATATTAACAATTAGTTGATTATCATTAATTCGATTTAAATTAAACATACGATTTAAATGTTTCTCGATTTAATTTTTGTGTTTCCGGTGTTCCGCTTTCCGAATTTGTTAGCCGATGAACTTTTCGCAGATTTTCCATCATTTCCTTGATTCGCAAATCATTCATTCGTATTCCCGATGTCCGAAGAGCCTATTGAAAGCACATTTTCAAATCAGAATCGAATATTGAAAATTCAAATGCGATATTATCTATAATAAATCAAACACACTTACAGCGAGAAATTTACCAATCGGAAGTAACTCCGTGCTCTCATTACAAAACATGTCAAAGAGAACATCGTCGGCATTTTGAGCTTCGTTATCACGTTGACTACAGTTTTAAAAACGAAACAATGAAAATCTCTTTGGTTAAATCCATTGAAGAGGATGGAAAATCATTTTCTTTTTTTTCAATCATTTTTTTTTGTTGGTTCAGTCATATATATTTGATTGCGTCATCCACTTTTAGTAAACGCATGCACATGAAACAAATGTAATTGGTTTAATAAATGATTTGGCACACCTAATAAATTTTGCTAACATTTTCACGAAAGCACGTTTTTGTTTGGGTGGTAAATCGTCGTCACGATTGGATTCGGTGAAGGAACATTCGGATTCACCACAATCCGTTAATGTACCATCATTATCTCCCTCCATATTTTTTTCTTCTTTTTTTCTCAAAATGATTCTCGTTTTGCTCAAATTATTCGACGTATGTACGATTTTGTATGTTAAAATTCACAAATTGTCGGAAGAAAACCGAGAAACCAAAAAAAAGAGTTATGAATGAAATGTTCTTAATTATGCACAAATTCTTTGAATGATTGTGAAAATAAGCGATGACATTGCTTTTATATATAAACCAAGAAACAAATATGCATAAATATTGTGCACATGATGTTCATACACTGAAAAAAAATCATGAACGCGATGGCGATGGTAAGAATCAGCATGTGCACGAATTCACAAGTTTTATTAATAATTTGGTTAAATAATTTGTTCTTTGTTATTATGAATGTGTGTTAAATGAATCTAATTTCAAATTAACACTCTTTTATTATTTTTTATTTATTTATCAAGGGATATTTAATGTGTGCGACTCTTGATCTAGGGGAGATACATAGAAAATGCATCACAGGCTTCGGAGACATGAATCTTAGTACTGCACATTTTTCGTAGTTTTTTTTTCTAATGATGATTCATGATCAAATAAGTTCTAGTTTTTGAGTTTGTGTCTACCCCCTAGTTGTTGATGCATGGTTGTTTGTTATTCTATTTTGAAATGAAATCAGTTTTCGAAGAAAAAAAAAAGATATTTTTCGTAAATAACTTTATTTACATTGTACGAGATTTGGTGCATCACAACGTTTATGCATGGTTTCAATGAAAATTAATCATTTAATACGAGAATCTGGCATCTTGGCATCGTTTCATTCTAAATATAATGCCCATTCCCATGTTATATATTCTATTAATTAGAGAAATGCAATTTCGAACGAAATCTCACCGATCAAACGATAAACACACACTTGTACGGTTTCGGACTTATCGGTTGAGATGTTTTATCCGTTCCGGTACGGATTCACTTCTTTGATTTGTTTTCCTTTTGTAATTAATTCGGCATCGTGATCAAAATATACACACAACACCAATGGAAAGACAATCAAACAAAAACCAAAATTATTTGTATGAAAAATCAGCGATTCAATCATAATGCTAATTTTTTGCCATTGCATCGATCAAATTAGTTGAACAAACAAATATGCCTTTTATAGTCGGTGTGTTCTAGTTCAAATGAGCCAATATTAGTTATTATTTTTTTCAAATTCGTTTTACAGCTATATTTAAAAGGTAATTTTCGTGTAAATTATTCACACAATTTTCACCTATAAAGTGGCACGTAAACATATATATTGATATCTTGTTCAAAGAAATCTTAGCAAATGACATGGCGCAATTGTAAAATATATTGCGTTACTTTGACAATAACAAACGATGACGACGGTGGTGGCAGCGGCGGTGGCGGCGACGACGACAATAAACACGCCTAAGCCTACCGTTCTTATTGTAAACATAGAAATATTCTAAAAATATTTATTACAATCGCATTTGGTATTGAAGGACAAAACAACATATCGACACAACATCAGCTGATGCAACATCCTGGTCTGATTGACAATTGGCACAAAATTTTAAAATAGCAAACACACAATTGAATGTACTCACTCTGGTTGTCCGTTTATGTCATAAAAAGCATATTTTTTGCTGTTGGGCTTTGATAGAATCGGCTATGTCATCCGAAAACAAGGTCGATAACGTTTGTTTTAAATATACGTGGTAGAAAAAAAAATTGATTGATTAAAAGGGATACAAAAAAAAAAAAACAATTCGGAAAAGAAGTCAGAACGCACAAACCTCATCAATTGAATCCGAAAAAAATCGGCGGGAATATGTGTTCACATGTCGTTCATTTGTCCAATGGTAAATACTTCGGCTCGGAAGAAGTGTATTTGAAAATGAATTCTTGTCTATGGAAGCAGTTAATCGACCTATACTCAGTCTATGCCGTATCAAAGCATTCATTAAATAATGTTTACTCCACATTTTTGTTTTATCAAATAATTCGAACGTGCTTTACCAATGGGTTGGGAATTTGATGAATAAAATGAAAAATTACTTTGAAATTGAAGTCTTTCTTATCGGACGAAATTAAATGCAAAATAGAAAATACAAAGATAACTCCACTCACGACTTTCCCACATTATACCATTGCACATTTAATAAATATATATATATATATAATTTTTGGCAATTCACACAACCAAATAAATGTGAGCACAGTGTAACAAAAACGAAATGTTCACGCAACAGCACAAAGTATTGAACCATAGATATATTCTCTCCTTGCAATTGATGGCAGATTTGAATTAATTTTTTGACCTGCGCACTGTCAAAACATTTATGGTTCACACTAGTAACATACAAAAAAAAAGACATGACTGTATGTGTTGTAATGTACTTTGAGATTTTTTTTTTATTCTTTTCGATGCGTGCGCGCGTGTGTGTATGTATGTCGGAGAATGTCGTTTAACAAATCACGATTTCACGTGTTAGATGCCTGAGATTTATTCTCATATAATCTATTATCGTCTTGAAATAATTGAAACAATATATCACATAAGCCGATAAGTCAAGTGATTACTATGCAACGGTTTCTATGATTAAAATTCCAATTTTTATGGATTTTTATGTGAATTGAAATCAATAAAATATCGAGTAATAAGTAGATTTCATTGGGATTCAACCTTGGTCACCCCTTTCCGTGCTCACCTCTTTTTTCGATGTCAGAAATTTTCTATTTCGAACACCATCACAGACAATTTATGTTATTTAAAAAAAAACGAAAATAACACTTAAACTAGTGTACGTGAATAAATATTTGATTTATAATCGCGGTAGAATTCCATTTGAATTTTTTTTTTTTTTTTTTTTTTTTTTTTTGGAATAATTCAATTGAGAAAAAAGCTTGACTTTTGAAGAATCGATTATTTTTGAGAATGTTTTAATTTAGTTTTGTTTTTTTTCTTCTTGAAGTTAAAATATGAAGTAAAGGACAAGTGTAAATGAAGCCAGTTCAATTGAATGCGAAAACTCTACAGGTGGTTTCCTGTGATATTGAAACGTACACCGATGTCTACGGTGATGACGAACGGAAACATTTCACTGACCTAAAAAATTACACTCGCTTTTGGTTTTAAGAAACAAAACTCCAAATTGGAATATTCAATGAACGAATGGCCTTTGAACATTTTCAACTGTAGTTTTTTGACAACAATTTTTGTCAGTTGAAAATTCAAAAGAAGAAAATACGAGAGACACATAAATGCTGGCGATTTTTTTTTTCGTCATGACTTTCATCACTTGTTGCGTATATGCTTGATTATTTGGGTCCTGAGAAAGCTTTAATGAGCCATCACAAAGTTTTGAGCTGTGACAACCAAAATTCTTACTGAGAACTTTACTCGAAAGTGGGTTTCTTCTTCTTCTTCTTCTTTTTTCGAAAGCATAATTAACGAATAACATTTTAGCATTCGTATATATCGAATATTGCAAGTCATTGGCAATAAAACAGCGCAAATCTAAGGAATGGAAATTTAAATGAATCAATCATAACGAGTATATCACGTCATCGGAAGTTTTATCGGAACATTCTGTTGTTTATTTCTTGCCCTTTTTACGATATATGTCTACTACAATGACGATGTATGAATTTTACATTTTGAAATCAGCACACATTTTTGATTATGGTATTTTCTTGAATGTGTTTTTTTTTTCGGGGATAGAGTCAGAATCGAAAAAAACCCAACGACATGGAAACATCGTCAATAAAATTAAGCTTACTGAACTTTAAAACAAAAGAGAATAAAACTTAAGTTTCATGTATAGTTTTCAAAAGGTAACTAATTAACTTGTGTCAATTACAAGGAATTAGTTGAAGCAAGCATGTTCGTTATCTATAAAATAAAAGATCAATATCAGAGTTTCTACAATCCAATTCGTTTGCAAATAGTTCAGCCATGTATTGCTTTGCCAACTTGCTTTTATATTTTTCTGTTTTTTCATAAATTCTCTTTCTCTTTCTCTCTCATTCGCTCTTTCCACGCTCTCTCTCACACACACACACATATTTATATGACATTGTGTGTGTTATGTGTCTTTCCCTTTTCTGCCTTCTTTTTTACATACCGTTCTCTGTGTTCGCTCCCGTTTTATCGCTCGTTTGTTAAATGCCCCTTTCAAAAAATAAATAAATCTAAATTGCATACCGAACAGTCAACTGTACGCAACAGTTAGAAAGAGATTGGTTGAAACAACACCGAAAAAGAGATGGAAAAGGCAAGACCTTCAACAACATTTTGGCATATGTGTATTGAAAGTGTTTGTGTCAATGCTGCTGTTGCCGTTGTTCGCACTGTTGCTCTCTGCTGTTGTTGCTGCTGTTGCTTTTGCTTTTATTACGGCCAATGAAATCTGTTCTGTAGTCAGTTGACTGAGATTCGTTGAACGATTTAGTTGATGGTTTGATAGAAATAGCCGTACAACGTGCATGTGTTCAAATATATACCCTACATTTACCATAACTTAACCATCCAGTTTTTTCCATCTAATTTCGCTTTTTTATTTTGTTTATTTCGTGTTTTGTGTGAATAGAAACGGTTCGAAAATTCCGAATATAAGTGCAAAGACAGTTTCTGATTTTTTGTGTGTGTGTTTTTTTTTCGTGAGTGTAAAACGTTCTGCCACGAAATATTTTACACCCGATTTTTTGAACGGAGACTCTGACAACGTTTTTGAAAAGAAGTTTTCGTGAAAATCCAAAAAGAAGGGAACATTTTCATCATGAATCGCTCGTTCGATGAAACAACACCTAGTGAATTGAATAACACCATTGACGATAAAAATTCATCAAAAGCTCGAAGCACAACATACTCATCGCATGGAAATGGTGATGAATCAAATGCTAATCAAAATGGAAAAACCAACCATGCAACAAGTTCGCTTAACGGAAATGATGACAATAACGATAATGCCCAACAACATTCAACCACCGAATCAGCGACCACCAATGGCAAGGGATTTATAAAACGAGCTCATCCAGCACCATTGAAAATGGTCGCATTCAAAGGCGATTCAAACGACGTACCAGGAACACCACGAACACCAAGAACATCAACCACACCAGGTAATTAAATTGATACATTCATTTCAAACAATCAGCAGAGATGAGACACAAAGGCTTTTTGTGCTTATTATTCTGGCGAGAATCAAGTAAAAGAAAATTAAAAATGCGAGGATGATATAAAAGAAACAATGCTTCCACTTGTTGCTTCACATAAGATTTATGTATTTTGAATAGAATCAAACAAACTCTATTGAAAAATGAGTGCGCCAGTGAACTAGATTAGATTAGTTAATGTTTTTCCTATCGACCGATATTAGATAAGTTCAAAAGTTGATGGATTTTTTCACTCATTGAAAGCCAAACTAATTGTTATTTCGTTTATGCCAACGTTTCGAATATGTTTTTATTCTTCAGGATTTTTTTTCTAAAAGACTAAATTCATGAATACAATATCTGAGTTATTCTGATGTTCAGTCATTCATTCATCATTGAATACTACTTAAATAGTCGTCTCAAGATTTTCAACAGTTTAAAGTCTCAAAAGAATGGAATTTACTTTCGATGGCAGCAAAATAAGTTCAAGTACAGAATATCGTTTGAAAAGTTTGAGAGAGAGAAAAAAAGAAGTTGACATTCTGTTCTGTATGTATGTATATTTTTTGTTGTTGTTGTTCGTTGTGGTTTTAAAATAGTATCATAAAAAATATCTGTAAAAACTCGTTGTCACTTGTCTCGTTTATTGGCGTCATTGAACCGAGTCGTCAAACTAGACATTGCAATCATTACTGTATTGATATTACGGTATGTGATTTGGAATCGGCCATAAAATTGAAAAAGGTTAAATATTGCACAAACCGAGAATAAAGTTCAATTCATCATTGCTTGGGGTAAACCCCCCGCAGAGTGTCGTTTTATATATTCATATTTGGTCATATTTTATGCAAAAACCATTATTAACACTTATGTCGTCGACGATAATTAGGCAGAATTTAGTAGGTCATTTTAAATGGCTAAACAATCATTCAAATTCTTATAAATTTGACAATAGAAAATGATATACGAATAACCGAAAGAAAACGAAACACGCATTGCTATAATTAAATGGCAGTTGTCTGCTTCGTTTTCATAATAGGATTGATCATTTATTTTTCCTCAATTGTGACTGGGCCCAAATGGAATTCCAAATGAATGAATAAAAAAAAAAACGTTAAAAAGGTTACGAAAAGTTATCAATGAATTAAATACACAACCCTATTTCAATTATGATAAATGCGTACGATAGCGTGTGCCATTTCGTTGGAAAAGCAAATGAGCAAAAAAAAGCGTGATAGCAATTAAATAAGCAATGAAAGTGATAGCCAGTTAATTTTTACTTATGGATTGGGTTTTTTGCTGTTTGTAAATGTCAATACTCATTAGCAAATCCCAATGAGTAATTAAATGACAGTCTAGTTAATCTACATAGTGAACATTGCTTTATTGATTTCACTTTTTTCGTTTTGGTTTTATTTATTACACGACCAATGTAAACACAAATCTTATTGAACATTGTCACACACTAAATTCGTGACTTTTTCTTAAATCATTCTGACACCTCATTACTATATCGTGAATTAAAATTTACATTGAATTCACCATAAATGACAAAGCATTAAATAATCGCTTAAAATAAGTAAAGAAAAACCTTAAATACACACAGAAAATAAGAAATTTAAGAAATCTAAACAGCACGTTAATTACAAAAAGGTTTGCCACGTAGCAGCAGAAAGACAGTCAAAAACGCGAAAAAAATTCTTCATTTTTTCTATTCATTATAGAGAGGCTCCGAGAGGCAGTTTTTTTTTCAATACAATGTTCGATACTTGATTAAATTGATTTTTCCATTCCAAAAAAATTATTAAATTTTTTATATAAGTCATGTAACCGCCATAAAACGGTTGAAAGCAGTTCTCGGACTTCTTCTTTTTCTTTTCTAGAAATAAGACAGTGTGTCAATATTTTTTTCTCAACAATTTGAAAAGGAAGTATGTTCTGATTATAGAATCAATTACCCAAATTCGTTTGATAAAAATAATTGTAATTTGAACAATTGGCAACTGTTTCCATTTATTGTTGATAATTATATTGGTCTTGCTATGTAATTAGCTTAATTTCAAAAACTTGTTGTAAATCAGAAATATCATTTGAGAATAATGATGAGATATCAATTGCAGTGATTGCTTTGAACGTATCGTTGGAAATCTGTCGTGTGTGCCATATTAAATGAAATCCATAACACACACATATATGTATAAATATTTTTTCCATTCACTTGACTATTCGATTTTTGGATGTTGAGTTGCGCACAAATGATTCTTTTATGTGAATTCAAACTCGATTTCAAGGGGATGCAGATGGACAAGCATCCTGTTCGAAATGGAAAGAAAGCGATGCGGCTAGCTTAGAAAGAAAAAAGAAAATGCTGGTGAAAGGCTGTGAAAGGAAACGACGTCGACTCAACGGCGTCAAATGATTGAATTAAATGTTTTTTTTTGCATAAAATTTATCAAATGTAACCTTTGATATGACGATCGATATTATCTCTTGATTAATTGTTTTTTTTTTGTTCTCTCCCAACACAAAAGGGCACGAAAAGTGTACATTTCATCATGATTTGGAATTGGATCACAAACCACCGACGCGCGAAGCTCTGTTGCCAGACATGGCACAGTCGTATCGCTTGCTGTTAAGCAGTTTGGGTGAAGATCCATCACGTCAAGGGCTATTAAAAACACCGGAACGAGCTGCCAAGGCAATGCTTTTCTTTACCAAAGGCTACGACCAAAGCATCGAAGGTGAGACTACTTTTCGTTTTTTTTTTATTATTATTTTAACCAGTGATTTGCTGGATGAATATCGCTGGATATTTTCAGACTCTGATTCTCAGCCGCTGCCAAAAGATAATGCAAAAATGAACCTTTGCACTGATGTTGTGTTGTATTTAACGCGCTGAGAATCAGCGTCTGAAAATATCAGCCGATATTCATCCAGCAAATATACTGCTCTGATCGTTATTTCCTCGAAAAATTGCAAAGATTTCTTCGAGTATTTCGAGAAAAAAAATGAAGATCCGGAAAGAAACTTACTCATACGAAAGCTTAAGAGCTTTGCATTGGCACTTTTACATGCGTCGATTCTTTTCTACCCACTTGTAAAAAAAATGATAGTGATTCAAGTGTTTTATTCCATTTCCATCAATCAATTCACATATGAATAGCACTTTACTTAGCTCTGTGTACATTGTGTGATAAATGATATTCAAGTGATGGAGAACTAATGGAAATTGTTTGTCATTGCCAAAACATTGATTGTTTAAGTCATTGGATTTTTTTCTTCTTCAACGATACTCATTTTACTACAAAATCCTTGACTCAATTTCAGGTAGCGGTTTTCGTGTCACAAATCTTGGTTAGATTTGTGGTTTTAATCAATTTACTACATACATATTCTGTATTCTTTGTATATGGTATTCACAAACATACTTCAAGACAAAAAACACACACACAACATCTCAATAGATGATTGTATTAAGTTTTTGCCTTCTTTAATGTTCACCATCAATCTGTCAGCGTACGGTCAGCTTTGATCAATGTTTTTGAAGTACGAATGCTTGAATTTGCATTTGGCTCCATATTTGCATTTTTTTTTTCGATTGTTTTTCTTCTTCGTTGGTTTCACTTTAAAAATTCGTCTATGTGTGTTCACATATTGGAAATAAAATGACGGTGAATAACAATTCTTGATGTGATTGAGTGACGTATGTAAATTGGTTCAAGTGGAAGGTACACCATTTTTTTGTCAATGGAAATTTTTTTATTACCAACAACACGCACTTCTGTCCATTTGTTTAAGCGAAAGTTTGAGTGCATGATTTATTTATTTTTTTCCGGTGAACCATTAAAAAAAAACTATTTTAAGTAATACAAAGCAGGAAAAAACCGAGAATTATTTCAATCTGTCTAGGTTGACATTGAAAACTAACAGTTATTTATCGAGCACATATTTTGGTGTGGTTTTCTTAAATTTATAGAAGCATTGAATGGAGCCGTTTTTGATGAAGATCATGATGAAATGGTTGTGGTGAAAGATATTGAAATGTTTTCAATGTGCGAACATCATTTGGTACCATTTTATGGAAAAGTGTCAATTGGTTATTTGCCGAGCAAAAAAATTCTCGGCCTCAGCAAATTGGCGAGGTGAGTAAAAATGATTATTTTATTTTGCATTTTTTCCGTTTGGATCCGGTACTTATATCACTTCTTTGATTTTATCAAGCTAACATACCAAAAAGAAAATGAATCAAAATTGAAAAACTTGCAAACATACACGCACACGCAAAATTCGTCTCTTTTCTAAACGACAATAAGCTTTAAAAACACAACAGGTTTCTTTTTTGTACGAAAACTCACTTTAAATCTGGCAAAAAAAAAACATTCGACGCAGAATATTGTGATTTAAACTTATTTAGGGAATCATTCATAAAGTTTTTCCCCAAAGTTGGAATATTTTTAGTCAAATTATCCACACATACGCATACAACAAGTTAAAATGCATTTCATCGAAGCGTTCTTTATGAAATATAATTAAAAACAAACATGAAGCCAGAACTCAATTATAAAAATGTGACTGAAAATAGAAAAAACATACACAAAAACACACACACAACAAACAACAAATTCATTTATCAATTTTGATTTTATTCAATACACAAATGATGATGAAAAATACTATTTTTCTTTTTGTAAAATTTTATAGTCAGCATAGATACGGAACGGACTATAATTTACTTGCTCGGTAAGAAAAACTATACCAACCACACACATCTACAACAACTTACTACAACTAGTGAATTATAAACCAAAAAAAAAAAAACAAACAAATTTCAAGAGCACAAAGTTTACGTAGAGACTAGATAGTGTGTCCACTATAGGGCATAGAACAAAACAAGAACGCAGACACATTTTGAGAGCAATCACTTAATGTTTAAAATCATAACTTTTTTTTTCTCAAGCAATATTTGGCTTTAAATCAAAAGACCACGAATTTAACCAAATAACCAAAAATAAATGTTGTCACTAAATTGTCATTGTTATGCTGCAACAATGACTACATATTATTCGTTTCTCGTTATAATCAATACATTCATTTGGGTGTTTCATACAGCTTGTTCTTTCTCTGTAAATTACGCAATTTTTATGGCACGCATTTTCTTTTTTTTCTTCATCTTTTCACACACATGCACACAAACACACATATACACATCAATCCATTCTCAGAACAAATTTGCTTTTACATTGCCATTTTGGGTTGATTTGAAATTGAGAGGGGAAAAAATACTGTTATGGCTAAAATCACGATAAAAAAGACTCAATTTACCAAATACATGTCTGACTATATCATTTCAGAATTGTGGAGATTTATTCACGACGACTGCAGGTTCAAGAGCGCCTCACTAAACAAATTGCGAACGCCGTAACTGAAGCCGTTCAACCAGCTGGCGTCGCTGTTGTCATTGAAGGAGTGTAAGTAGAACATGTCGAAGTAATTAAAACCAGTAATTACGGAAAAAACACACACACACATTCACCATTCAAAAATAAATTCTAAAAGAATAACCGCGGCTACCATAAATCGCAGCCTTCTTTCTTCTATTCGATTCGAATATTGAAATCCACATTTATGCAATTTGACAGATATTCTAATAAGTTTATCTCTTTTTCAGGCACATGTGCATGGTAATGCGAGGTGTACAGAAGATTAACAGCAAAACAGTGACATCAACAATGTTGGGTGTATTTCGTGATGATCCGAAAACGCGCGAAGAGTTTCTCAATCTTGTTAACACCAAGTAAAAAGAAAAACAACAAAAAATGAACACATCCATTAAAATGATAACAATTTAACAGAGATGAACAACATCGACATGCATTGCAACAGAAAGAAAAATTATCAATGAACACATCTCAATGAAGAAAAATATAAATAGCTAAAGAAGAGTATTTATTTATTTATTTGCTAAAGTTTTTCTGTGCACATTTTTTTTTATTTTCCTGTATTTACCACATTATTATAGTTTTTATATATATATATTTTGTTTTATACGTCATTCGTGTGATTGTACTTATTATTTTGTGTTTTATTTTTTCAAATTCCCTTTCACTTCACGAGCACATTAAAATCTTGGTTTAAAAAAAAATACGGTTGTCTATTGTATAGAAATAAACGACCTTTCTTAATTAAAAAAAAAACATCGCCATCCAATGCAATGGAAGTAGAACTTGAAGTAGGATGATATGCATTTTTGGTCACCATTTTTTAAAATATCACATTTCAATCGCACCGCAAAAGTGCATATCTTCTATTTTTAAACTTTTGCCCAATTTTATTGACGCAATGCTATCGAAAAAGTTGCATTCTTCATGATGGATTTCGCCGTTCTATTTATTAGTATCGATGACAGCTGTATTTAAAACGTATTTTTTTTTTAATTTCTAATATTGTTTAAAGGAATTACGTTTGATTCCGTTTATCTACATCACACTTATCGCAACAATATATATATCATTTTATTTAGATTTTTTAGACAGACAAATAATTTCTCCAGTGACATAAGCATTTACATTCGAATGGTGTGTGGCAATGCAACATTTTATCTACCGGTTTTATTTGAGTCACTTGTAAAGTGTAAACGGACAGGTTACCACGAATTTAAAGTAGAGGCAGCGCTTATGGTTCTTTCGAATGAGGGTGTACAAACTACTCAAAACGTGCATTGAAACCATGCGTAGCCAAAAGATTTGGAATCAGGGATTGTCCCTCTGAGGAGGAAAAATGGTGAGGAGGAGGAGGAGATACTGCTTCTGAAGTGAGTTTTTTTTTGGTCAAAATGCAATTTTTATCACAAGAATATCGTTTTTGGTTAAAAACATTTTCCTTCTCCTCAGAGGAACAATCCCTGTTTGGAATGAATCTTATAAATTATCGGCTTTAAAAAGTTTTGCACCATTTTTAAGAAAAAATTCATCAATAACAAGATAATATGACGACGCCAATAAAATATACGAATAGTAGAATGCCCTATTTTTGATCAATAAATATTTAAAGTGTACACAAATGAAAACAAATAAAAGGAGCAATAAAAGACAGTGATCGTTCCTATAATGGATGAATCTATCTACGTGAATAAAAACAAGTTCTTTCTAAATGTTAATATATTCTTGATTTGTTAAAAAAAAATCGCCTATATAGTGTGTTTTGATATATTCAACTACGCATCGAAAGTTTCTTCAAAGTCGAATAATGAAATATGTCGTTTTTCAACAGATAGCGCTATCTACTGTACTCTCCGTTGCTACTTAAAAATTCTTTGTAAAAATTACAAAACCGTCCACAAATGGTTATATAAATATTCATCATTTGCAAATTTACTATGATTTCCCGTCGTAAATTTACAAGAAAAAAAAAACAAATCGTGCGAATATTTAACGAGATATTTCAATATTTGACTCTGAAGAAATTGTTTCGTGCGCAAATGAATATAGTAACGCACAATGTATAGAACATTTATATTTTATTGCAAAATTTCTAGAAAAATGAAAATATTTTAGATACATAAATGTACTGGGATGCAAATAACATCCGATAATACTGCAATTGAATCGGTGTGGTGAAAAAATACCGCTTATTTTGTTTCGAATAATATTGCAACATAAGATTTTTTAACCGCAATGATTCAATTGAAACATAAAAAAAATCAAGAAACAAGGGACCAACTTTGCCAATAATTTTAAGATTTAAAGACAATATATATTATACATGCAAAAAATGTATTGTAGTTTATGATGATGACCAAAATACTATCGAGATCATGCTTTAAAATTCCAGTTTTTACCATTTTACACATATGTTCTTTTTATATAAATGTATTTTATTAGCATTTTCCGAACAAAAGATAAATCTGAAGTTCATTCAAAAAATGATGTGTACTTTGTTTTTATCGAGAATAATCTTTTTCATTGGGCTTCGACGAATGTTAAGTTTAATTTCAATCGACTTCAATGGCTTAAATTCTTTCTGTTTTCAAAATGTTAGTTGAGTCATTCAACATACATGGCATTAAAAGTGGAAAGAGTTATTTATTGCAATCGGATCATAGTTATATTACCAAATCAACCAAATCATGAATAAACAACGAAAGCAATTCAAAAGGATTTTAACTTGATATTTATGCAATGAATTCAAGTTTTATATTATATTTTGGCCTAAACCATCAAAAGTTAGAGGATTTGATTTTAGTGTGCATTAGTTAAAAAGCTCATATACTCACGGCCAGTGTTGGGTAAAGATACAGATGTAGATAAGATTGTATCTTTTATCTTATCTTAATCTTACAGTAAAATATCTCATCTTATCCAGATACAAATTTTTTAACGTCATCTTTTAAGCAATATCTAGATACTTTTTAAGATGTTTTCACATTTTTTCGAGGTATTTTGAAATTTTTTCCGAAAATTTTCTAATTTTTTTTGAAAATATTTTTTTCTATTTATAAAATTATTTATATGAAAAAATGATGTATCTAGATACTCTTTGTGTATCTAGATATCGATTGATTATTTAGATACTTTGAGTATCAAAAGTCGAAAGAAATGTCTGAGCAAAAATATCTTTTAAAATATCTCAGATACACCCAAGATATTATCTCATCTTTGCGTTTTTCAAGATAAGATTTGGTATCTTATCTAGATACTATTTTGAAAATTTTAAATTCATATTATCTTGTATCTAAACATTAGATAGTATCTTTACCCAACACTGAGTCGTGAGTCACAGCCATTTAGCTTTTTATTTACTAAAAAAAAACAAGTTTCATGTTGTTAAAAAAATCATGAAAATATCTGTCGCAGGAAAATATCTTATTCAGATGTGTGAAAATAGATGAATTGGGGACCAATAAATATTGTTTTTGTTTATTTTTATTGATGACAATATTAAATTTATTTTATAGCTCTTTGGTAATGTAGATTTAAATTTAAAGTGTACTCAGTATTTTTTCAGTCCAATTATAATAAAGTATAGAAATTGTAGCGTTGGACTGTATTGAATAAAATGCGTTTCGTTCATTGGCCAAAATTCCAAAAAGAAAAAAATCAAGTTGATGTTAAATTTTTTTTATGATCAAAGAAATTTTTACAAGTTCTCAAAGTATTCGTAAATGTAATCGGTTTTATTCTCCCAAAAATCAGTGAAATATTTGTTGAGTTTTCAACTTATTTTTAAAGTATATTGTAAAAGAGAAACTGTTAATAAAATATTCTTCATGTTGTTTAAATTCAAATTATTGACAGTTTATTCATTTTAATTATTCAATGAGAGAAGGAAAGGTCGGTACTGTCGCCGCTTTTATGACTAATTGTCATCAATGATCTTCTCAGGTGACTTTATGAAAATGGCTTTCGTTCAGTTGGTTATATTCAGAACGAGCCTGTACCTTATTTTTGAACAGTTGATATGCTGTTAAGAGTTTAAAATTACCTCTGTCAGAACGACGTTCGGAACTTTTGCATTTTAATTATGTTTTATAAACAGTTTATAGATTATATATTTCATTTTGTTGTTAATGATCCTGTTCACATTTGCTAGTTGCTCTCTTTTTCTTTGTATTTTATTGCGCTATAGGATAGGAAATCAAATAGTTCGTTATATGGCTAATACATCATGGCCAAATTAAATTTGCATATAAGTTTCTTTATGGCAAAACAAGTTACAAAGCGAAACATTATCATCGTGACCAAATTGAACGAATTCGCCGAATGAAACTTAGAGAGAAAGAGAAGATTCAAGAATTTTTAAAAACAAGATCAACTACATCAATTAATTCATTCAGCGAATTTAATAAAATAATATAAATCACATTTTCATCATTCAATAAAGTCTACAGAATGTTAAATTAAGCGAACACATTTAAAACACACCTTCTTCTGTTTTACAATTTCTCGAAATGTCAAATTCATTTGTCATTCTGGTAGAAGACAACGTTCGTTTTTCTCACCGAGGTATTATACAAAGATTTGATTACTTGCAAGAGCTGGGCAAGATTTGATTACTTGGGATGATTGATTTAATATAAGTGATAATGTAAACGTAATAAACCTAATCTGAGAATGTTGAGCGTAAAAACCAAATGAATACAAATTGCGAGCGTATTCGTGTTTCACTCATACATATTTGTTTTTTCTTCCGATCCTTTCATTTATAAATCTAAGCCATCTGACACATATGTGAATATTCATAACAAATAATATTAGCTGAGTGCTACACTAATACAAGCAGATGCAAGCATAAACTTATCATAACCGCGCGCGAGAATCGGCCAATTATATGTAAGCATTTGATATGCTGTTATGAGTTAGTCTGATTTCATCCTTCGAATCTTTAACAGCCAATACTCTTACATGTACTTAAATAGTGAATTGTGAAATATATTAATCAATTTTGGTAAAGTTGTTTCCATTTATTGGTTGATTACCTATCATCGCGTATAAAATACATATTAATTGAATATTTATATATCGAACACAAGCAAATTATGAAAACTAAAAACACTTTCCGGTTAATATGCATCGGAGTTATATTTCATATGGTCGACTTGGCTGTAATGCACAATCAAAATGTGACGAAACGTTGTCGACGCATAACAAACGAATTCGATGATAATGGCATTGCTGGCTCACAAAAGGTATGTAATTCGCAGACAAAACTTCGAGATTTTTTCCGAGACCGAGAAGATTTGCTTAAATATGAAGCGGAAACAAGTTTTGCGGCTGACATTAAACTGACCGACAACGAACAGCTTGCAAACAAAATTATTATGAAAGCCAAAGAGGATGAATTTCAAGCGGGTTTATTCCAGCCACACCAATTCAATCCAGCACGTCATATTTTCGAAGCTTTGAATGACATCAAACAATCGAAACTGTTTCAAATCATACAAAAAATGCCAAAGGGTGGCATTTTACACGCGCACACTAAGGCTTTATGCTCCACAAGCTATGTGGTTTCATTAACTTATTGGCCGAATTTGTGGCAACGGACGTCAACCAACAACAGCAATGACATTTTGGAATTTGTATTTTCGCGTAATCAACCGACAAACGATGATAATGATTCGACATGGCGTCTCGTTGGAGATGCCCGAACTGAAATTGGTGCTGAGAAATATGATGAAATTATACGCAACATGTTTACGCTGTTCGATAAAAATGTCAACCCACTTATACAATTTAAAGACGTTAACGATGTGTGGAGTCATTTTGAGGGTATATTCAATAAGTTGTGGCCGATTCTTGAATATGCACCAGTTTTTAAGGCCCACTACAAGCATGCACTCACAGAAATGCAGGCGGATGGTGTTCAATATTTGGAATTCAGAGGTCACGTGTCCAAGGTATTTTTGTACCTTTATCTGTATCTATATCAAATGATTTTTGTCCAGAAACTTCAACGTAATTAATTAAGGCAGATCGCATTAAATTTTGGTTTTTGTTTGTTTGTTCCTAATTTGTCTACATCGTTTGTTGTGTCGAATATCTTGCTAATTTGATTTAATTCTTTGTTTTTCTAATTTTCTAATTATTTCGTATGCAAAGCTCTACGATTTGGATGGTAATAAATACAATGAAGAGGAAATAATGGAAATGTATGTTGAAGCATTGGATGAATTCAAGCGTGATAATCCATCGTTTATTGGCTCGAAATTCATATATTCACCACTCAAAAAAAATTCTAATAAGACGATAGCAAAATATATTGACATCGTTAGTAGGGTAGCTATGTACGTTCTGGCGCACTATTGACCTAGGTCAGTGAACGAAACGTTCTCTGTAAGAATGAGAGAAGAATGAGAGAAGAATGAGAGAATCGCGAATAAGAAGAGAGAAAAGCGATAAATATGGTTTTTTAATTGCTTTTTCTCCACCATTCGCACAATATCATATATATATGATGATATTCATTTTAAAATATCAGTTTGGTTTCGGTTTGTGTAATTGCAAGTACGAATTGAACAGTGAAAAAAAAAATGTCATCGCTTGAAGTAAATAAAATTATGTGTAAATCGTGTAAAGGTACCGATCACAAATGGCACACAAGCCATTTGTGTCCAAAATCAAAATGGGCAAAGATCAGAATCGCAAAACAAAATGAAGACATAGCTCAATTAAAGGAAAGCTTGAAAAAATTTGAGGATTTCATTCTGCAGAAAAAAATTACGATTGATAAATTAGCGCCAGCATTTTGTTCCAATTGGATGGAAATCGAACGCTATAATGGGAATATACATGAATGGAAATTGGAGTGGGAGTTGCAAAAAACTTTATTTAATTTACATTACGATATCGCATGTAAAGCGTTCTGTACCCCTCTAGTGGATGATATTTTAAATAATGTATCGGAGAGAATAAAAATAATTTACGGTATCGTTGGATCAAATGCTGGAGAAATGTGGCATAGCCGATCATACACTAAAGCCCACTACGGAACAATAGTACTGATGAAATTCTGGGGTGTAACTATTGAAGCAAAAAATGTATTCAAATAAAAATTCGGATTTATCGTTTTTATTTTGTTTTGTCTACGCATATCAACTCGAATTCATATTTTGTGTGGAAACTGAAATAAGAGAAAGAGAATTATGAATTTTTAATAAGTGATCAGTTTGATTAAATTCATCGTAAGTGAAACATCTGAGAGCATGGGGAGTATTTTTCTTGAGGGATATTTGGTTTCCGTAGGTCAGTTTTTTCAATGTCCACTATGTAAGCAAAGAAAAAAGATGGTGGAATTTGCGCATCGAAAAGAATCATTTAAAATGGAAGATATTAGTTGTAATGATTGTTTCCATGCAAAAAATGATGATACAAGTACAAATCAGAAAAAAGAGACACCAATATATCGAAAGGAAAAGAGAAACAAGAACGAGAGGAAGTTACGAAGAATGAGAAAAAGAAGTGAGAAAAATAATTCGCAAATCCGACCGATCTCCGACGCCGACCGAACGTCATTGTAGTATAACACGAGAAACGACGATCGATATACATTTTAGTTTCAACTTTTATTCGCGAACGAGCAAGTGAACGAGCAAGTCGTCTGTTAAAATCAGCATCAGCATCAGTCAAACGCAGTGTCACAAAATAGTGTAAAGAATAAAAAGTTTCAACAGTTAAAATTTACAATTTAAAAAAGTGAAAAAAAAAATGGATGCATTATCAACATTGAAGGGAGCCTGTAACGCAGTGTCTTATAAGATGCCATTGAATGGAAATCAAGTTTCGTTACCTGTGAAATCATTCTCCACTTTAACATCGGGGGAATATATTGTGTCGCATTTCGAAAAAGTGCAGACAAAATTGTACGGGGAAAGAATGCGAATCATTGTCGATGGATTTTATCTCTACCTACCGAACCGATTCAACGAGAGCCTTTCCCAAGCACAGGTGGACGAATTAAACCAGGGTCCAAAAATAATGGTGTATGGTGGTAAAGACGCATCGCGGAACGACCGTCTAATTTTGGACTTCAAGGAACCTGAATATTTCATCCAAAATTTTTTGAATGACGCTGAATTATTCAATTAGATTAAGTTGAAAGGAAAATTGTATTCGAAACAGAACATCCGAATAAAAGACACATAAAATTGTATTTTTTTGCGGAAATAGAGTGCATTTTTTATTTCAGCAATTTTTTTATTTCAGAACTTAATCTAAAGAAAAATGTAAGTAATTTCAGAAATGGTTAATATTCTAAAATCGTCTAATATCTATATATGGCTTAATCTACTTCATCGTATCCGTATCCGTCGATGGCTTTCGGAATTATAGAGAGCAATTTTTCAATCTTCTTTTCATTGCCAATCGGGACATTGAGACATCGCTTTGGATCCATTAGAAATTGGCATTTAGGTGAATATTTATGGTGATCCAGGATCGGGTCATCATCGGCGTTCCATTCGTGTAATTGAATGTTGCAAAAGGCACAGCCGACAACATCTCTTTCTCCGGTGAAATAAAGCCCCGTTTTTGCCAATTTCTTTACGTTAATATAATACTTTTTATCATGTGGCCATTCACGAGATGAAAATGATTCGAGTCTACAGGCTTCGTTCAACATTTTTGTTTTAATGTAAATCGGTACACACTTTGAAAACCATTCCGAAAAATTTGCTCCAATTTCATTTGTAAATGTTTTATCAACACAATGGCAATTAAAATCGAGAATTTTTTCAAAGAAATATGGAACATAATGTTTCGAGTGTGATAGATCCGTTGCATTTTTCAATGTCTTTCCATCATAGCAAAAATGGCTGACCAAATTAAATAGCATTGTTTCACATAATTTGCGTGTTTGTTCAAGCGATGTAATAAAATTTTCAATGTAGGATTTTTTCTGTAGCATCTCAATCAATGACTCTTCATCGATCGTTAAATATTTTTGTCCAATGCGTAAGCTAAATATGCGTAGCTCGGTTGGTTTCAAATCAATTACATATTTCAATCCTTGCTTTCGTTTAACCGTCTCGTATGGCGATTTCCATGTTTCATTAAAATTGTCATTTAAAAATTCCAGCAACTCGAATAGTTCGAGACCGGTTAATATCGTTGAATTTCTTGTTTTCGATTCCACTTGTACCATAACTTCAAAAAAATGTTGTGGGCTACAGCCAATTCTTAATATTGATTGGTTTTTTTCAGTTAAATAAACACTGCGCTCACTAACTAATCGTAATGAATCGTATGTTTTCATATTTCTCTGTGTGCGAACATTGTATTCAAATTTCTTTATGTTTATTTCATTCTTATCATTGTTTTGACTACATTTCCACGCACATTGCTCTGTGCAGCATGCCAATGCAATTTCGGTGAGAAGAGACATCGTAAAAAACTGTTTATGCACGTCCAAGCGATTCAAGTTCTGGTCTCGAACTGAATTTAAAAGAAACGAATCGGCGCATTCACATTTGAAATTTCTTTCAGTTTCAGAGCATTTGAGACTGCACATCGGCATTTTCGATAACTATAAGCATTACAATGATATTCACACATATTATTATAATAATCATAATCTCCATATGATTCGTTGTTCATTTCGTAATCTGTATCTTCAATATTTTTGCAAGTGATGTCACCACATTTGCGGAAAATATATCTTAACCATTGAACTTTCTGGTCTCCTTTCACGATGATAACTTTGTTCATCAATTTTGGATAAACGATCTCAGTCAATTCATTGATATCCATGTCACCGCCTTCGTATTCTATTCCGTGGAAATTTTTTGTCAGCCACTCAACTTGTCGTTTGTAGTGGTAAAGTAATTTCTTATACGGGTACCATGGTTTCACAATCGCATGAAATGTTTCACCATTGTCGATTAAACAGAATTCCTTGCACATAAATCGATTTTTATTTACTTTGAATCCTTGAACATCAACGTAAACCCACTCTTCAATTTCAACATCTCCGGTGTTGACCGAATCAAACTCTGATGCGTCCGTCATGTTTCACATTCAAACTCAGACTGAAGAACAAAGTCGAAATGTGTTTAATGAATAATGCGTCGTTCACGCAACTCTTCGATGATGGAATTGACTTCTTGATCGTGATTCGTATTGCCTGCTTGCTTTGACGAAAGCAGCAATATTAAACGCTCAACCAACTCATTTGGATCGTCATAGTATTCGTATACAATGTTTTCGGTGTATGGAATGAATTTTTTCTCTAATCCTTTTCCATCGTATTTGATGCGCCCTTTGTTCATTCGCAATTCAATTAATTGATTTTTCCGCATCTCAGCCAACTTTTTATCGGTTGTTTCAACTTTTCGCCGTTTCGCATTCACACCAATAAATTCCCCATTTTTATAATCTTCAGGGCTCATTATGATTTTTCGTGCAGGCTTTCGATTTTTGCGTTCAGTTGCAGCGTTCATCATCTCATAATCATCATCATCATTGAATCGCGATAAATTTTTTTCATTTATTCGATTACTTTTTCTTTGCAATGACAATAACTTTCGTGCAGATGTTAAAATGTTAGTCAAAGTCGATGCAGGTTTTTTACTTTTAACTATGTTAT